GGTGGTACCACTGTTTGCAGTTGGTGAAGTATTTCTTGTTGGTGCCTTTGAGCTGCTGCATGGCGCAGACGTTGGGTCTGAAAGGGAAGAGACAATAATTCATAAAGTATAAACTCACTGAACCATTAAAGCTCTCACATTATTTCCCATCATGCAGAAGAACCAAACACTGAGTTCACATAAACTGGAAACTAGAACCACAATCTGAAGAATAAAATCATTTTAACAAACACAAAGTTTCACTACAGTCGATATTTATGCAGTTTGAACAGTTTTATATGAATATTTAATGTTTTATTCACTTCAGTTATTTGATTATTTATGGGATAAAATATGCAACTGATTCCACCTTCAAAGGTTTAAGGACTTTTAAGGTGGACTGGTTCCTTCTAACATCACGATGAAGTTTTTAGAGTCATAATATTACTGTATGATCATAATAATAATAATAATACATTACATGAGTTATTGATTATTGATTATTAACGACTCTCAGACACATACAGTGAAACTTCAGATGATTCATTAACACACTTCAATCTATATTTAGGGTTATTTGACTTTTTTCTTGAATTATTATTTAATATTATTCAATTATTTCTGCTGTGTGCTCTTTGTTTAAACTCAATAAAAAGTATTACAATAATAATAATAAGACACTATATTAGCTCATATTATAAATATAGATGTATTAAAGTCACAACTTTGTTTGAATTATTATTATTTTATATGTAATGAGTCTTCAGGTGCAGTTGGTCCTCAAAATAAAGGTGGTATTAAGAGAACATCACTGTGTGTCTGCAGATAATATAATAATATAATAATGTAAATATAATAACGAGCTGAGCTGCTGTGTAATAATAATAATAATAATAATAATAATAATATACCAATAGATTATCAATAGGAGCTATTAACAGCTGATTATTGAGATTATTGGACACAGATCAATAATGAAATCTGTATTATGGGAATATTTCCAGACCAGCAGCAGAACTTCACTTTAAACTCGGCCCGGTTCGGCTCGGCTCTGTTTCGGCCCGGTTCGGCTCTACTCGGCTCGGTTCGGTTCGGTAAACTCACCCCTGCTGCCGGCCTCTGATCCGGCTGTGCTGCAGGACCGCCTGGTACGGAGACCGGGCCACACAGACGGTTAGAACCAGGGCCAGACCCAGGACCAGCACGCACACTTTCATCTTGAATTAAAGTGAAAAATCCTCCTCTTCTTCCTCTTTTTCTCTTCCTGTCTTCTTCCTCTTCGTCCTCTTCGTCCTCTCCGCAGCCCAGCGGTCCCTCCAGGATCCGGGACGGGGACTGGTTTATAAAGCAGAGGAGGAGGAGGGGCGAGACATCAGACACCGGGGGGGAGGAACTCCTCCAGTAAAAGTACTGACTGTTTAAAGCTTCTATCATTATTATACATTGGTATGTATGATGGGTTATTATTACAGGTTAGGGTTCAAAGTTTAACAATAATCTTTATAATATGTTTATAATATGTTTATAATGTGTTCATAAGATGTTTATATGTTTATAATAGGTTTATAAGATATTTATATGTTTATAATGTGTTCGTAAGATGTTTATATGTTTATAATATGTTTATAATATGTTTATATGTTTATAATGTGTTCATAAGATGTTTATATGTTTATAATAGGTTTATAAGATGTTTATATGTTTATAATGTGTTCGTAAGATGTTTATATGTTTATAATATGTTTATATGTTTATAATGTGTTCATAAGATGTTTCTATGTTTATAATATGTTTATAAGATGTTTATATGTTTATAATATGTTTATATGTTTATAATGTGTTCATAAGATGTTTATATGTTTATAATATGTTTATAAGATGTTTATATGTTTATAATATGTTTATAAGATGTTTATATGTTTATAATATGTTTATAAGATGTTTATATGTTTATAATGTGTTCGTAAGATGTTTCTATGTTTATAATATGTTTATAAGATGTTTATATGTTTATAATATGTTTATAAGATGTTTATATGATAGTGTTTATAAGATGTTTATATGTTTATAATATGTTTATAATATGTTTATATGTTTATAATGTGTTTATAAGATGTTTATATGTTTATAATAGGTTTATAAGATGTTTATATGTTTATAATGTGTTCATAAGATGTTTCTATGTTTATAATAGGTTTATAAGATGTTTATATGTTTATAATGTGTTCATAAGATGTTTATATGTTTATAATGTGTTTATAAGATGTTTATATGTTTATAATATGTTTATAAGATGTTTATATGTTTATAAGATGTTTATAAGTTTATAATATGTTTATTTCTTCTCAAACTTTCAGTTTCAGTTTCATTCAGAAATCTCATATTTCACAAAACAAAGCAAAAGGTTAAACTCAGATGGCGATTCCCTTATAAGGATACTTCCTGTTGCCAAGAGGTGGCGCTGTGACAGTGACTGAACATTTATATGGTGGTGTGTTCAGGATCTTTTCATCATGAAGGTTTTTAGAGTGAAATCTGATCTGAGTTCATTAAAATATAAATGTTGTAGAATAACATTGTGTTTTATGGTAAAACTTTCCATCATTAACTTCTTTAGATTCTACTGAACCCAGATAATTAGCTAATAATTATTACACCAGTTAGCTAGTTAGTTAGCAGCACAAACCATGAGCTAACAAGCAAGCTAATCTACATCAATCATTACCCAGCTAGTTACATCTGAAAGCTAATATTAGCCAAAATAAAATCTTCCAATGAGACACAAACAGCTAAATAAACACTGAGGAGTTGTTACTGGTTCAATCAGCTCAATATTAATATCTATAATATCTCATTAAGACAAAGTTCTGAACAACAAAACTCAACCAAAATAACCTGAACTTGTTCTTTTATTATTATATATTCATATATACCTCCACAGTGAGGGCTGTTGGTTATTCGATCCAACCTTTTAAAGATGTGTGTGGTTGCTTCCTCCTCCTCTTCCTCACTGGCTGCGTTCATGAGCCACCGATAAAATCTGATATGCGGTAAATCAAACCAGCTGTTACAGGGCGCTGCGTTCAAGAGCTGAAACACTGAAACGATAAACAAACACAAACATGTTTCAGTTCCTGAACGTCCGCCTGCCTCCAGGACCGTCCTCAGTTTGTGTAAACCTGCGGTCTGCGAGCCGTTTCCACTTTAAATCAGAGCTGTCGGCTTCCATTAGCTCAACGCTGACAGGAAACTGCAGTGGACAGCGTGAGAAGAGACGTTCAAGTTCTTCACTGTGAGGTCTCAAAGGACATAGACTTATTAAAGATTCCTAATTCTCTCCGGCTGAATGTGAAACAATCCTGCTCGGTGTCATTCACTTGAACTCACTTTATTAACAACGTATTTAATCAGTCACAAGATAAGAGAAGTGAATCACTTTATTTTTATTAGCTTGCTTGCTTGCTAACGTTATCGCTACCAAAGTACTATCTGAGTGTATGTGTTGGTTGGTTAGCTTCCCCAGCAAACATGATGCTAACTTATGCATTCTGACAAACTCTGTTGATTTTAGCAACAATAAATTATGTAGCGGTACAAAGCTAACGATAGCTTTCTACTAGCCTAGTTTAATGAACGTTAGTTACTTTTTTCTGAAATTGGTGAAATATCAAACTTCTAATGTGAAGATGAAATAAAGTCAGAATTAAAATTGAACAGATGGACACAAGATATCAATAAAATGTCATCTTTTAATATCCAGATGGTCACTGATGTCTTTGGTGTGTGAGGTTGAGTGTCTGGTTGTAATCATCAGTTCTTCGTGGGGAAGTTAATCCAACCGGGTTTTATTTATTCTGGCAAAGTTCATTGTAGGATATACGTGGGTGTCATCAGCGTATATGAATATAGATGGAAAGTATTCAGCCCTGCCCGCCACAGAGAGAGAGCACGTGGGCCGAGGCTCAAACAGATGAACTCATCTCTCTGAGGATGAGACACAGCTGAGGTCATACGGCTTACAGACACCAGGTCCAGGTTTTACAGACAGGATGTCGACCCTGATCTCACTGATCTCAACAACTCATGAATGATCAGTGATGCTAATGCTACACGCGTAACGGCAGGAAATGATCTCCAAAAACGTCAAAGTTTCTGTGGAAATAAGGAGATATATTTATATTTATATTTATCACTGATCAGTGTTTCCAACGTGGCTACATGCATGGATCCATTTTACCACGTTTCAACCACACCACTGCAATGGTTGGGACCAGTCGGCGTCCTTCGAGGAGCTGCTGGCAGCTACAGTCGAGGTTTAACACCAGCTCTGTGAGAAATGCTAAAGAGGTTAGCATAGCATCAGTTATATCAGAACTACAGAGTATTTCTTCTTCTTCTGAAAGAATGGAAAATATGTTTTCTTCCCTCAGTCCCTTCGTGTTGAGGCCCAGAATCAGTTTTTATAAAATGTTTCTTGTCATTTACAGGCGCAATAGGGAAGAAAGTGAAAGTTACAAAATGAGTTGCTTTGTTTTTGTATAATTCATCATTCATTCATCAACCTGTCTATTAGACCCGATCCCAACTAGGCTGCTTAAACAAGTCGTACCCTTAATTAGCACTTCTTTACTGAACATGATTAATCTTTCTTTATTATCAGGATATGTACCACAGTCCTTTAAAGTAGCTGTAATTAAACCCCTTCTTAAAAAGCCCACTCTTGACCCAGGGGTTTTAGCCAACTATAGACCGATTTCTAACCTCCCCTTCCTCTCTAAGATTCTGGAGAAAGTAGTCGCCAAAGAGTTGTGTGACTTTCTACATAACAATAGTTTATTTGAGGATTTTCAGTCAGGATTTAGAGTTCATCATAGCACAGAGACAGCTCTGGTTAAAGTTAATAATGACCTTCTGACTGCTTCTGACAATGGACTTGTCTCTGTACTTGTATTATTAGATCTTAGTGCTGCATTTGACACCATTGACCATAATATTCTTTTACAGAGACTTGAGCATCAAATTGGAATTAAAGGAACCGCAGTAAGCTGGTTTAAGTCATATTTATCAGATCGTTCGCAGTTTGTACATGTTAACGATGAATCTTCAATAAATACTACAGTTAGTCATGGAGTTCCACAAGGTTCTGTACTTGGACCAATACTATTTACTTTATATATGCTCCCTTTAGGCAACATTATTAGGAATCACTCCATTAACGTTCACTGTTATGCAGATGATACGCAGTTATATCTATCAATCAAACCCAATGAAATTAATCAATTATCTAAATTACAAACATGTCTTAAGGACATAAAATCCTGGATGAGCTGCAATTTTCTGATGTTAAACTCAGAAAAAAATTTAATTCTTGTTCTTGGCCCCAAAAACCTTAGAGATTCACTGTCTAAAGATATAGTTACTCTAGATGGCATTACCTTGGCCTCTAGCACCACTGTCAGGAATCTTGGAGTTATCTTTGATCAGGATTTGTCTTTTAACTCCCACATGAAGCAGACCTCTAGGACTGCCTTCTTTCATTTACGTAATATTAGAAAAATTAGACACATACTATCACAGACAGATGCAGAAAAACTAATCCATACATTTGTTACTTCAAGGCTGGATTACTGCAACTCTTTATTATCAGGTTGCCCCAATAAGTCCATTAAAACGCTCCAATTAATTCAGAACGCTGCAGCACGAGTACTGACAGGAACTAGAAAAAGAGATCACATCTCTCCTGTACTAGCTTCTCTGCACTGGCTCCCTGTAAAATGTAGAATAGAATTTAAAATCCTCCTCCTCACCTATAAAGCTCTTCATGGTCAGGCCCCTTCATATCTTAAAGAGCTCATAGTACCCTATTACCCCTCTAGAACACTACGTTCTCTGAATGCTGGGCTACTTGTGGTTCCTATAGTCTCTAAAAGTAGAACAGGAGCCAGAGCCTTCAGTTACCAAGCTCCTCTCCTGTGGAACCAGCTTCCAGTTGTGGTTCGGGAGGCAGACACCCTCACCACATTCAAGAGTAGGCTTAAGACATTCCTCTTTGATAAAGCTTATAGTTAGGGCTGGATCAGGTGAGTCCTGAACCATCCCTTAGTTATGCTGCTATAGGCCTAGACTATCGGGGGATTTCCCATGGTGCACTGAGCTCCTCTCTTCCTCTCTCTTTCTGCACTCATTCATGTCCCATTAATGCATGTTACTAACTTCACTTCTTCCCCGGAGTTCTTGTCCTTTCTTGTCTCGCAGGTTCTCATTGATCCTGGTGGAGCCTCCTGCCATGGTCCTGCTTGACTGCCATTGCTAATATCACTGATATTATTGTTATTATTATTATTATTAATATTATTATTACTACAGCTACTATTATTACTATTGTCACTGCTCATTGTCCCCCATCGTTATTGTCATTGTCGTCATCATCTTCTTCATGTTCATCATCATCAGTCACTACTATTAGTGTAGTTGTTGCTGTGCACCTGTCTGTCTATCTGTCTATCTGTCTGTCTGTCTCTGTCTCTGTCTCTGTCTCTCAATTCAATTCATTTCAATTCAGTTCAATTCAAATGGCTTTATTGGCATGACGTAACACTGTACATATTGCCAAAGCAAGCGTTTGGAATTAAAAATAATAATAATAATAATAATAATAATAATAATAATAATAATCAGAATCAGAAATACTTTAATAATCCCAGGGGGAAATTATTTTCGTTAAACAACACTCCAGATATACAAACAAAATATTATACAAACAACATATATATAAACAACATTCAGCACAAAAAATATAAATATATATATATAACTATATATATATATACAAGATCAAATGTACAGTATTAATATGCAAAAGTGCAAAAGAATAATTGTCTACGTTTTGAGTTCAGAATTACAGAGGGGGGGTGTCTGACTCTCTGAGGGAGGCGTTGTAGAGATTGATGACCACAGGCAGGAATGATTTCCTGTGGCGCTCTGTAGTGCATCTGGGTGAGAGGAGTCTTCTGCTGAAGGTGCTCCTCTGCTGGGCCAGTGTGTCCTAGAGAGGGTGAGAGACATTGTCCAAGATGGACTGAAGCCTGGACAGCATCCTCCTCTCTGCCACGGTCGTCAGGGTGTCCAGCTCCTCCCCTACGACATCACCGGCCCTCCTGATCAGTTTGTTTAGTCTGTTGTTATCAGTGACCCTCAGCCCACTGCCCCAGCATGGGACAGCGAAGAAGATCGTACTAGCCACAACAGACTCATAGAACATCCTCAGCATCCTCCGGCAGATGTTAAAGGACCTCAGCCTCCTTAGGAAAAAGAGTCGGCTTTGGCCCTTTTTGTAGACCGCCTCAGCGTTTCTAGTCCAGTCCAGCTTATTATTAAAGTACACCCCTGTAGATGGTTCAGCTCAGTCCAAGTGACAAAGTTGCCCACCACAGTCCTGTATTCACTGTCATCACCATTATCTATGCAGCCAACTATTGCTGAGTCATCAGAAAACTTCTGAAGGTGGCAGGACTCGGTGCAATAGTTGAAGTCTGAGGTGAAGAGGGTGAAGAGAAAGGGAGAGAGGACAGTCCCCTGTGGGGCCCCAGTGTTGCTGACCACCCTGTCAGACACACAGGTCTGTAGGCATACGTACTGTGGTCTGCCCGTCAGGTAATCAACAATCCAGGACACGATGGGGGCCTCCACCTGCATCACAGCCATCTTCTCACCCAGTAGAGCCGGACGGATGGTATTGAAAGCATTGGAGAAATCAAAGAACATGACTCTCACAGTGCTCGCCGGCTTATCCAGATGAGTGTAGACTCTGTTCAGCAGGTAGATGATGCTGTCCTCAGCTCCCAGGCGGGGCTGGTAGGCGAACTGCAGTTGATCGGTGAAGGGCCTGACCATAGGCCTTAGCTGCTCCAGGACGAGCCTCTCCAGGGTCTTTATAATGTGGGACGTCAGAGCCACCGGTCTATAGTAATAATAATAATAATAATAATAAAGGAAAACAATATTTACAATAAATTAATTATAATCTATACTGTTGGTAATACTCTAACTATGATTGACTCAATCACAATCACAGTCACAATCAATCAATCTCAGTCAATAAGTAATTAATTACAATCAATCAATCAATCAATCAGTTTGTGTCAACTAAAAATGTCATTAAAACAGTAGTAAAGTAACTACAGTTAAAACAAGTAGTCTGTTGTCAATATAACAGTAATAACAAATGATCAAATATAATATATAATATATATAATATTAAAATATATTAAAATAAAATAGATAGATAAAACTGTAAACGTGTGTGTATATATATATATATATATATATATATATATATATATATTAAAAAACAACAAAAAAAAACAACAACTAAACAATCAATTATTTTATACATTTACAGAGTTTCCACTGGTTGTCCTCAGTTCGTGGCATGAGGAGACATATTTTGCTGCAATAATTTGACTTTTTGGCATTTCTCCCAGTAAATAGGGGAGTTTCTGTGTGTCTGATAATAATTCTAAATCGGGGTATATTTGGGAAATATTTGCAAATTGTTTTTCTCTTAAAGTTTTGAATTTAGGGCATGAGGTTAGAAAGTGCAGCTCTGTCTCTACCTGTCCTCTGTCACACTGGGAGCAGAGTCTCTCCTCTTCTGGTAGCCAGTTCTGTCTGTGGCGACCCTTTTCTATGGCCAGGCTGTGTTCACTCAGTCTGTACACTGTCAACATTTTTCTTAGTTCAGGACATTTTATTGTGCTCAGGTAATTTGCCAGAGTGAATTCTCTTTTTAAGGTCAGATAACATTGTAATTTACTTTGTGTTTTGGTCGTTTCTTTCCAGTATTCAATATATTTTTCTTTTTGCTTGTTGATAATTTGGTTTGGTCTGATTGAGTTGGTGTTGCTGTCCTGAGGCTGTTGGGGACATGTTACTGCAGAGAGCCTCAGGACCAGCTGGCTGAGGGGACTCTTCTCTGGTTTCAGCTCCTGGTATGTTAGGGCTTTGTGATGGTATGTCTGGGGGTTAACTGATTTTAAGTGATTGTAAATTTTAATTGATCTTTTCTGTATTTTTAGTAGGAGGGGGTATTGGCCGAGCTCTGCTCTGCACAGATTATTTGGTGTTTTTCTCTACACCTGCAGGATGCTCTTACAGAACTCGCTGTGGAAAGATTCTATGATTGTTTTGTCCCATTTGTCAAATTCATTATTTAGTTTTGGTCCCCAAATTTCGCTGGCATATAGAATTATTGGTTCTAGTACAAATTGGAAAATTTCTCTCTCTCTGTCTCTCTCTCTCTCTCTCTCTCTCTCACCCCAACTGGTCGAGACAGACGACCACCCACCTAGAGCCGAAGGATCTGTCCTAGGTTTCTGCCTTTTAACAGGCAGTTTTTCCTTGCCCCTGTCTCCAAGGTCTTGCTCATGGTGGAACTGTTGGGTCTCTGTAAAATAAAATTTAATTGAACTGAATTAAATTCATAAAAATCAGTTGCTGAGGTCTCTCCAATGAAAGGATAAAGTTTTTAATGTTACAACCAGAGCTGCACGTGAGAACGATGTGAACATTGTGAACCATGTGAACGGTGTGAACGGTGTGAATGTTGTGTGTCTGATGAATATGTGAAGAATGATTCAGGCTGCAGGAGGACGACCTGCTGCCTCTGGCATTCAGCTAATGGAGATCCTCTTAAATAAATAAATAAAGTGATTCAAGCCATGTTCAACATCTTCAAACACAGACGTCAGTGAACTCATCACGGCTCACATTCTGTTTATACTGAAGTTCTCCCTCCTCTTCATCACCACTGTCTGTCTGTGTGACCTGTCTGTCTGTCTGTGTGACCTGTCTCACACTGTGGTGTTACAGAGCAGCAGACTGGTCTTTATGTTCAGTCTGTATATAATATATAATACTGTATATATAGTGATGTAATCAGATTACAGTTACTAATTACCTGTTAGGAAATGTAGTCAGTGACCAAGTATCACCATATTAAAGTAACTTGATTACTTTGTTTATTTAGGATTTGTGAATTTTAAATTTGTAATCTGCTAAATTTAACTGTAATCTGATTATGTGTTTTTTCTGTAACTGTAATGGATTACATCTACCTTTTTTGTTTCCTGATTACGTAACTGAAATACCACCTTCATCAGTTCTGGATCAATAATTCTGGGTTTTTCGGGGGATCTCAAACTCTCCGCCTTCAGTGTCTCAGTTTGGGTGATTCAGGCTGTGGTGCTTTCAGGTAGTCCCAGGAAGCTCCGACATCTGAGTGCTGACCCTCTGCTGCTGATGGGACCCAAACACAGTCTGCTAGAACATTAATTCATCACCCTGACGAGCAACAAGATACAGTTTGTCAGAAATCTGCTCCGAGACCTCGGCCGGTACCGAAGCTCTGCAACAACAAACTGCTTGAACTACCTGAACTTATACATATATTACAGCTAGCAGCTAACCGCTAACAGCTGTGTGTGACCTGGATTCTTCCTCTAACCCTCTGAGACCTTTTCCACCATAAAACCTCTGAAAGGAGGAAAAGCTGAACAAGCAGCAGACATGTTGATTCTGATGGAGGTCAAAGGTCACAGCTCAGCTGCTGTTGTGACCTCACCAGCTCCACGACCTCTGACCCCCTGCCGCCGAGACATGACGAACTGATGCCGCCTTCATTTCAGCTCGAGAGCGACGTCACATCCGTGTTGGAAATGGTAAATGGAGCTGTACTTGTATAGTTTCCTCTCTAGTGTTCGACCACTCAAAGTGCTTTTACACTACAGACACATTCACTGGTAAAGTCCATCGAACAGAAACTAACTCATTCATACACACTCACTCACATCGGGAGCAATTTGGGGTTCAGTATCTTGCTCAAGGATACTTCGTCCTGTGGCACCAGGAGCCGGGGATCGAACCCACAACCTTCCGATTAAGGAACGACCCGCTCTGCCTCTGAGCCACAGCCGCCCGGAGAACGAGTAACCGCGGGTCGTTGCGTTCTGTTTGTTTGGTAACGTTGATGGTGATTATTCACACGTTCATTATTACACAATCATATCTCACAGTTTGATATCTGAATACTCCGTTCTGATTACCGTTACCGTTACCGTGGTTACTGCTCTGCTTTCTGCTCAAGACTCGGCACTGTTGTCACAAAGTAACTAATGAGGCTCATTAACTCATAATGAGACTGTAGCAACAGTGTACAGTGCTGTGGGTACGAACTCTTCATCAGTGTTCACTGTGAGACGAGTTCGTTAATACGACCTCTTCATCAGTGTTCACTGTGAGACGAGTTCGTTAATACGACCTCTTCATCAGTGTTCACTGTGACACGAGTTCGTTAATACGACCTCTTCATCAGTGTTCACTGTGACACGAGTTCGTTAATACGACCTCTTCATCAGTGTTCACTGTGACAGGAGTTCGTTAATACGACCTCTTCATCAGTGTTCACTGTGACACGAGTTCGTTAAGAGCGGCTTTATGACATCACATCTGCAAGTTTGGCTCCATGGTCCAGAATGTCTGTTAGCATTAGCATCAGTCTGTTAGCATTAGCATCAGTCTGTTAGCAGTAGCATCAGTCTGTTAGCATTAGCATAAGTCTGTTAGCATTAGCATCAGTCTGTTAGCATTAGCATCAGTCTGTTAGCAGTAGCATCAGTCTGTTAGCATTAGCATCAGTCTGTTAACAGTAGCATCAGTCTGTTAGCATCAGTCTGTTAGCATTAGCATAAGTCTGTTAGCATTAGCATCAGTCTGTTAGCAGTAGCATCAGTCTGTTAGCATCAGTCTGTTAGCAGTAGCATCAGTCTGTTAGCATTAGCATCAGTCTGTTGGCAGTAGCATCAGTCTGTAAGCATTAACCTCAGTCTGTTAGCATTAGCATCAGTCTGTTAGCAGTAGCATCAGTCTGTTAGCATCAGTCTGTTAGCATTAGCATAAGTCTGTTAGCATTAGCATCAGTCTGTTAGCAGTAGCATCAGTCTGTTAGCAGTAGCATCAGTCTGTTGGCAGTAGCATCAGTCTGTAAGCATTAACCTCAGTCTGTTAGCATTAGCATCAGTCTGTTAACAGTAGCATCAGTCTGTTAGCATCAGTCTGTTAGCATTAGCATAAGTCTGTTAGCATTAGCATCAGTCTGTTAACAGTAGCATCAGTCTGTTAGCATCAGTCTGTTAGCATTAGCATAAGTCTGTTAGCATTAGCATCAGTCTGTTAGCAGTAGCATCAGTCTGTTGGCAGTAGCATCAGTCTGTAAGCATTAACCTCAGTCTGTTAGCATTAGCATCAGTCTGTTAGCAGTAGCATCAGTCTGTTAGCATCAGTCTGTTAGCATTAGCATAAGTCTGTTAGCATTAGCATCAGTCTGTTAGCAGTAGCATCAGTCTGTTAGCATTAGCATCAGTCTGTTAGCATTATAATAACAGTGTAACACAGAACATACACCCCCCCCAACAATGAACAATAAAACATACTGAAAAAATAAAAGCTGTGCAGCTTTATTGTTATTTTTCAAAATAAAAGTTTAAAACAAGATTGAGGCCTGAAGAACACTAATCTGTTGTTTCCATGGAAACCAGTGAAGTGTGTGTATGTGTGTGTGTGTGTGTATGTGTGTATGTGTGTGTGTGTGTGTGTGTGTGTGTGTGTGTGTGTGTGAGTGTGTGAGTGAGTTAGTGTGTGTGTGTGTGTGTGTGTGTGTATGTCTGTGTGTGTGTGTGTGTGTGTGTGTGTGTGTGTAACACAGGGCGGCTTTGTGTTCAGGTTTCCAGCAGATGTTCTCAGAGGTCAAAGGTCATCAGAAAGTCCTGCGTTGTTCAGGAACTGTTGTGAAGGGGTTAGAACAAACGCACACACACACACACACACACACACACACACACACACACACACACACACACACACAGAGTTCAGTTTCAGTGTGCACAGCGCCCTCTGCTGGTGACAGAAATGCACCAGACTCGGCTTAATGAATAATAATTGTTAGTATTGAGTTGTTGTTGTTGTTGTTGTTGTTGGTGTTGTTACTTTGCTTTATTTAGATTATTATGATTATTATTATTATTATTAGTAGTAGTAGTTTTTACAGAATTGGAGGCTCATTTTTTTTATTGTAGGAGGACCAGCATGCACCTGGGTGGGCTGATGGTTTTACTTTGTTCTTTAGATTGCTTGCTGTTTGCTTGTTTGTTTATTTGCTTGCTGTTTGTTAAATAAACACAGTTTACATGGACAGTGTGATACATTGTAGTGCAGCAGTGACCTGTTTGAGTGTGAGGCCCCTCCAGGATTCACATAATTATTACATGAACACTTATAGTGACAAACACACAAATACTGTGAATGTCTGATCTGGTGTCTGCATACAGTCTCGTTCGGCTGTGGTTCAGAGGCGTAGCGGGTCGTTCCTTAATCAGAAGGTTGTGGGTTCGATCCCCAGCTCCTGGTGCCACATGTCGAAGTATCCTTGAGCAAGATACTGAAGTCCAAATTGCTCCCGATGCCGTGCATCGGTGTGTGAATGTGTATGAATGTTAGTTTCTGAGTGAAAGGGTGAATGTGGCGCGTAGTGTAAAAGTGCTTTGAGTGGTCAGAAGACTAGAAATACAAGCTGTACAGGTTCATTTACCATTCTGTCTCAGCTACACAGGATAAGGTATTACTGTGCTAATTAAAAGGGTTAGGGTTAATGGTTAAACCTCAATGACCCATCCAGGTTTACTGTAACAAGGTAGATGTAGTCAGGAAGAAGACAATATAATACAAACACATAATTGGTTGTCATCTTAAGACATAAAACTTACTTACATATTAAATAAGCACATAACTGCTGTTCTGCATAAAACACAGTAAAATGGACAGTGAGGTAGTGAGTAGTTACTGCAGTTAGCCTCTGGGGGGCAGTATAACCCAACACAACAACAACAGACACATTACAAACCAACATTTGGAACATGAGCATAGAGCGAGAACCCAGGTCGACCCACAACCCGGGCAGGCGTGTGGAGTCGGTCTGAGTAACTGTTCACTGTAACAGCCCTAATACTGTATCTGACTGTAAAATAAAAGCAGGTCTCAGTGATGAAGACGAGGTTCAGGTTGTGTTTGTACCTTTTGATGAAGACGCGGAAGGTGTTGTCCTTTATGTATTTCAGAGCTGTGGCCAGTTCATCATCAGAGGAAAACGCCACCATGTCTCCATCTTCATCTGAAACACACACTCATCATCATCATCATCAAAGACCAAATATCAATCAAAGATGGACGGAATAAAGTAGAGCCGCTCACAGCAGGTGTCCGTCAGCACACCTGAGCTCATATAACAGTGACAGCACAGCATGCACGTGAGTGTAAGCTCATAATGTTAGATACAGTAAATACAGTAGATACAGTAGATACAGTAGATAGAGTACATGCAGTAGATAGAGTACATGCAGTAGATACAGTAGATACAGTAGATACAGTACATGCAGTAGATACAGTAGATAGAGTACATGCAGTAGATACAGTACATGCAGTAGATGCAGTAGATACAGTAGATAGAGTACATGCAGTAGATACAGTACATGCAGTAGATGCAGTAGATACAGTAGATGCAGTAGATACAGTACATGCAGTAGATAGAGTAGATACAGTACATGCAGTAGATACAGTAGATAGAGTACATGCAGTAGATACAGTAGATACAGTAGATACAGTAGATGCAGTAGATACAGTAGATACAGTAGATACAGTAGATAGAGTACATGCAGTAGATGCAGTAGATACAGTAGATACAGTAGATGCAGTAGATACAGTAGATACAGTAGATGCAGTAGATGCAGTAGATACAGTAGATACAGTACATGCAGTAGATGCAGTAGATACAGTAGATAGCAGTAGATACAGTAGATACAGTAGATGCAGTAGATACAGTAGATAGAGTACATGCAGTAGATACAGTAGATGCAGTAGATACAGTAGATACAGTACATGCAGTAGATGCAGTACATGCAGTAGATGCAGTAGATACAGTAGATACAGTAGATACAGTAGATGCAGTAGATAGTAGAAATTCACAGTAATACATGCAGTAGATACAGTAGATACAGTACATGCAGTAGATACAGTAGATACAGTAGATAGAGTACATGCAGTAGATGCAGTACATGCAGTAGATGCAGTAGATACAGTAGATACAGTAGATACAGTAGATGCAGTAGATAGAGTACATGCAGTAGATACAGTAGATAGAGTACATGCAGTAGATACAGTAGATAGAGTACATGCAGTAGATACAGTAGATACAGTAGATAGAGTACATGCAGTAGATACAGTAGATAGAGTACATGCAGTAGATACAGTAGATACAGTAGATGCAGTAGATACAGTAGATAGAGTACATGCAGTAGATACAGTAGATACAGTAGATACAGTAGATGCAGTAGATACAGTAGATAGAGTACATGCAGTAGATACAGTAGATACAGTAGATGCAGTAGATACAGTAGATACAGCAGATAAAAGAGGCGCAGATATAAAGCTCACAGAGGTTGAAACAGCAGAGGTCACACAGACCAACAATGAACTAGGGATCATTTTAGGGAAGCTTCCTTTAGCGTCTTAATAGCGCCACCTATGGTCTGTTATTTTAAATCAGTGCAACAAAAAGGAAAAAGAAAACTAGCTACACTTTGTAATCCGTGTATCTTTTGTTCTTTTCATATTCAATTGAGATTCCAAAATCGGAAAATGAAAAAACGGTTTGTTATTTCCTTATTCATTTATGAATCTGATACCAAAAAACAAATAACGGTTCATTTTTTGTACTTTGGATTTATTGCTCAGATCAAACATAGGAAATGAAATAACGGGCCACGGATCGATTTTGATTTTGATATTTAATGTTTTCGTTTTGTGTGAACCGGAAGTTATTGTCTTCTTCGTGTGTTGCAGTTTCGCAAAGCCTGAAAAAAGTCAATCATACAGTGATTGTACTCTGTATTTAAGGACTTATTTGAAACTATAAGGACTTATTAAGGACTTATTTGAAACTGGCAAGACACATGTAGAGATTTCTACTAGGCTGCAGCAGGTGGAGATCCAGTGATGTTCTGACAGTCAGCCTCTGCTGATACACGGACCTTGGATTCTTTTTATTTAATCTGTTATTTATTTAATTTTAATTAAATGAGACTTGAGCATTTATTATCTATAATCCCAATAACCTATAAAGTGAAATATGACTGAGTTGTACTTTGTGTTCGATTTGACTGCACCCTTTGCTGTCAGCCCTTAAGTTTCATTTTCTATGAAATCCTAAACTGACTTTCACTGTAACTGAAAGAACAGGTTTCCACTCGACCACCGCCCTGTACCAACCTACTGCAGACATTATAAAGTATATTATAAAGCAGTGATATATTATAAAGCAGTGGTATATTATAAAGCAGTGATATATTATAAAGCAGTTATATATTATAGAGCAGTGGTATATTATAAGGCAGTGGTATATTATAAAGCAGCGATATATTATAAAGCAGTGGTATATTATAAGGCAGTGGTATGAGTTTCGATTCCCCGTTTACAGGATGAACTGATGAACTAACGGTGATGAACTGATGAACTAACTGATTAATCCTGTCCTCAACAAGTGGAAACAAAGATCTGAGCTCATCTGCTGTGGCAGTTATTGAATGTTTAATAAATCATATTTACCTTTGTAGAAGAGCTTTAAAATTCCTTTCAGATTAAACAGCTTTGTGATCATGGTGTTAACAGATTCCAAGTTGCGGTGGTAATATGCCGGAGAGAGATCAAACCTCCGGACCTCCATCACTGAGCCGTCTTTCCCCAACAGGTGAACCTTCACCGGCACCGACATCCTGCTCCGGGTCCCGGTACTAACTTCACACCGACAATCTAATTGATAAACTTTCTTCTCGTCCTGCCTTCATCTGGAGCCACCCTCCTCTGCTCTGATTGGCCAGTAGCCTGCTCTTCTCTCTCCAGGCCTCTTGTGATTGGATGCTGTGACCTGAACTACTATCAGTGATAGTAACCTTAAATACTGTATGGAAGAGCATTAGGGCCAAAAAAAAGAGTTTAAAAGGGGAAAAGAATTCTGAATTTATATCAAAATCTAATTTTCTTCCTGTAAAACAAAATGTGACACATTCTTATGTAAGCACACAACTTTATTATCACTGTACAGACACACAACTTTATTATCACTGTACAGACACACAACTTTATTATCACTGTACAGACACAACTTTATTAACACTGTACAAACACACAACTTTATTATCACTGTACAGACACACAACTTTATTATCACTGTACAGACACACAACTTTATTATCACTGTACAGACACACAACTTTATTATCACTGTACAGACACAACTTTATTATCACTGTACAGACACACAACTTTATTATCACTGTACAGACACACAACTTTATTATCACTGTACAGACACACAACTTTATTATCACTGTACAGACACAGAACAATGAGGAGTGTTGATCAGTCAGTGATGGAAGTGTGTGTACCTGCTGCATTAAAGGAACAAGAAACAACCCAGGGTCACTCACCCTCCTTCAGCAGTGATAAGGTTTCTCTAACAGGAGGATACTCTCCCTCCTACAGAGGACACAGAGACACTGAGGAACCAGAACCAGTACTGAACCACCAGAACCCTAAACCAAGACAAAGAGGTTCAGTGAATGTGGTGTTGAAGGTGTCGAGGTGGATCACTGTGTCAGAGGAGACTCTGTAGAAGGACAGAGTGCCAGCAGGACAGTCCACATAGACTGCTACTCTGTTAGAGACAGAGGAGGAGGAGAAGGAGGATGTGATGCTGTTATTGTGAAAACAAGGTAACCACCATCAGAGAAGCTCAGTTTCCAGGACTGATTATCCTCTCCAAAAGCACATCTTCCTCCACTGCCACTGATCGGAGGGAGATCTGCTGGAGTGGAGTTATTTATTATTAGGTATTCCCCTCCCCCTTCCCTCTTAGGGCCTGTCTTTCCCCTGATGGTCCCCTGCTCTTTCCCCTTGGTCTGGCTAGCTTTAGTGTTTATTATGAACTCTGTGTTGACTGTTAACTAAAAGTATCCCTATTAAGACTTCTATGTGTTGTGCTGTGTACTTTTGGATGCTAAGCCACACCTGGTGGGTTGTTCCTGGTCTATTCTGGTGACACACTAGCCAGTTGGTACCTTCCCCACCACATGGTGGAACATAATGGGAAGCCCTCTGTAGTCACTGCCAACCGGCACCCTATTCTATAAGTCCCAAGCTGTAGGAGCCGATAAGACCAATCTATTAATAGAAGGTGTTCAGTCAGTATGACCCTCTTGGGTTTCTTGTACCCTACACTACAAAAGCAAAGGTTCTGGTACAACACCTGGGACAACCCAGCTCTACCAGATCACCTACTGCACTCTAGGAAGGAGTGGGAGGTTGAGGTGTTTCATCTGCCAAGTGTTCATCAGGTAACTTCAATCATTTCTTCATCGAAGCCATCAACCTGTCTGTTAGACCCGATCCCAACTAGGCTGCTTAAAGAAGTTGTTCCCTTAATTGGCACTTCTTTACTGGATATGATTAATCTTTCTTTATTATCAGGATATGTACCACAGTCCTTTAAAGTAGCTGTAATTAAACCCCTTCTTAAAAAGTCTACTCTTGACCCAGGGGTTTTAGCCAACTATAGACCGATTTCTAACCTCCCGTTCCTCTCTAAGATTCTGGAGAAAGTAGTCGCCAAAGAGTTGTGTGACTTTCTACATAACAATAGTTTATTTGAGGATTTTCAGTCAGGATTTAGAGTTCATCATAGCACAGAGACAGCTCTGGTTAAAGTTAATAATGACCTTCTGACTGCTTCTGACAATGGACTTGTCTCTGTACTTGTATTATTAGATCTTAGTGCTGCATTTGACACCATTGACCATGATATTCTTTTACAGAGACTTGAGCATCAAATTGGCATTAAAGGAACTGCCCTAACCTGGTTTAAGTCATACTTATCAGATCGTTCTCAGTTTGTACATGTTAACGATGAATCCTCCATAAATACTAAAGTTAGTCATGGAGTTCCACAAGGTTCTGTACTTGGACCAATACTATTTACTTTATATATTCTCCCTTTAGGCAACATTATTAGGAATCACTCCATTAACTTTCACTGTTATGCAGATGATACGCAGTTATATCTATCAATCAAACCCAATGAAATTAATCAATTACCTAAATTACAAACATGTCTTAAGGACATAAAATCCTGGATGACCTGCAATTTTCTGATGTTAAACTCAGAAAAAAACGAAATTCTTGTTCTTGGCCCCAAAAACCTTAGAGACTCATTGTCTAAAGATATAGTCACTCTAGATGGCATTAACTTGGCCTCTAGCACCACTGTCAGGAATCTTGGAGTTATCTTTGATCAGGATTTGTCATTTAACTCCCACATAAAGCAGACCTCTAGGACTGCCTTCTTTCATTTACGTAATATTAGAAAAATTAGACACATACTATCACAGACAGATGCAGAAAAACTAATCCATGCATTTGTTACTTCAAGGCTGGATTACTGCAACTCTTTATTATCAGGTTGCCCCAATAAGTCCATTAAAACGCTCCAATTAATTCAGAACGCTGCAGCACGAGTACTGACAGGAACTAGAAAAAGAGATCACATCTCTCCTGTACTAGCTACTCTGCATTGGCTCCCTATAAAATGTAGAATTGAATTTAAAATACTCCTCCTCACCTATAAAGCTCTTCATGGTCAGGCCCCTTCATATCTTAAAGAGCTCATAGTACCCTATTACCCCACTAGAACACTACGTTCTCTGAATGCTGGGCTACTTGTGGTTCCTATAGTCTCTAAAAGTAGAACAGGAGCCAGAGCCTTCAGTTACCAAGCTCCTCTCCTGTGGAACCAGCTTCCAGTTGTGGTTCGGGAGGCAGACACCCTCACCACATTCAAGAGTAGGCTTAAGACATTCCTCTTTGATAAAGCTTATAGTTAGGGCTGGATCAGGTGAGTCCTGAACCATCCCTTAGTTATGCTGCTATAGGCCTAGACTATCGGGGGATTTCCCATGGTGCACTGAGCTACTCTCTTCCTCTCTCTTTCTGCACTCATTCATGTCCCTTTAATGCATGTTACTAACTCCACTTCTTCCCCGGAGTTCTTGTGCTTTCTCGTCTCGCAGGTTCTCATGGATCCTGGTGGAGCCTCCTGCCATGGTCCTGCTTGACTGCCATTGCCAATACTGTTGTTGCTGTGCACCTGTCTGTCTGTCTGTCGCTCTCTCTCTCTCTCTCTCTCTCTCTCTCTCTCTCTCTCTCTCTCTCTCACCCCAACTGGTCGAGACAGACGACCACCCACCTAGAGCCGGAGGATCTGTCCTAGGTTTCTGCCTTTTAACAGGCAGTTTTTCCTTGCCCTTGTCGCCAAGTGCTTGCTCATGGTGGTACTGTTGGGTCTCTGTAATTAATGTTAAAGAGTTCGGTCTAGACCTGCTCTATTTGAAAAGTGTCCTGAGATAACTTCTGTTATGAATTGGCGCTATACAAATAAAATTGAATTGAAATTGAATTGAATTGAAAGTGTAACCTTGCCAAGATGCTATACCAATCCTGAGTTTGATGCCCCTACTGGCAGACAAAGGGCTCTGTGGCGTTCCTCACTGCACGGTCAAAGAAGCAGCAATCCATCCCAAGCGTGGAGCTGTGTGGCAAGTAGGACTCATGCCGCTTCAAGGTGTTCATGGGCACAAGAATTGTAGAGATTCGGGACCTCAAGGGTGATGACACCTGGCATTATCCTCCACAACCCAGAGCAGCCTCCGGTCATCATCAATACATTTCTGACTAAACACAACAACAACAACACGAACAAAGAAAAACTTTGACAAATGCAGAATTTGTCCATGAGGGTAAATCAGAATTCAAACAGTCATCAGCTGATCAAAGTGATCGAATCTGACCTGAGAGTTTCCAGTGTGGAGTGTGGAAGTAGAAAGCAGTTTCACTCCTGAATCATGCAGGTTGCTGTTACTCAGGTCCAGCTATCTCAGACTCAAGGACTGCCAGAGAACTGAGGACAGAGCTTCACAGCTTTTTCTGAGAGGTTGCAGACACTCAGAGAGACAATGGGGGTAAATGTTATAAATGAGGAGTATGATCTAGACCTGCTATGAAAACAGTCCTGAGATAACTTCTGTCATGATTTAGCGATATACAAATAAAACTGAATTAAACTGAAATGAAAAAGTTTCCAAGTTTAAAGAAGTCTTCTTGTCTGATTGTTGGTTCTGGTCTGTCTGGTTTCCTGGATGCTGTTTTAATCTGTCTGACCTCATGTTCATCATTGACCTCTGACTCTTTAGTTATTCTGGGTAACCTGAACTCAGAACCTTCTGGATCTTCTTCAGCTCATTCTTCACAAAAGTGACAATGTTGTCCTCCAGCAGCTGGAACAGAATATTATATGAATGATTCAATCAAAGTCAAATCATGGAAGCAAACATCAGATCCATGTTGGACAGACTGACAATCCACTGGTCTAAAAAGTGCAGCATGGAGATTATTGTGAACACAATAGATGTAAAAGTAGGTGTTGTCCATATACAGACCATAAAAATGGAGTCCAGGTGTGTTTGATGCTGCTGGGCAGACTGACCACTGGGAACCTCTGAGCTCTCCTGGTCCACTCTGTGGAGGAATCATAAGGAAGTAACTCACATTGTGTCTGACCACACAGAGACAAACACAAGCTAAAGGTCCTTTGAGTTAAAGTGTTGATTACAACATTAAACCTATAATACTATGGACATCAATGCACAGCTTACACAAGCTAATTGGATTCTTCCTGTCCTGAGTGAAAAATCAGGAAAACCAAAGAGGAAACCAAAGAACACTGCATCAAACCAAAGGTAAAGGTGAATTCACAGCCAACTGTGTGTCAAATGAAAGTTAGAACATACTCTCCTGGACTACATGTAAGCAAACAGGCACAGAAGTTGTTGATAAATTTAAAATGTGAGAATACAAATGTACATGAAAACGAGAGATGTTATTACCAGCGTACCTTGTTGCAGCAGAGGGTCCTTTAAAGTAAACGACATCGTCCTTCAACTGGTCGCTGTTGAAGGACAGACAGCTGGGTTCAGGTTCTGGTCTCTGCTGCTCGACATTCAAACAACACCAGCACAGATAGCACTGATTAGTTGCACTTGGGTCTATTTATCCTTCCTTCACTTTATGCATTCATTCATGTCCCTTTAATGCATGTTACTAACTTCACTTCTTCCCCGGAGTTCTTGTGCTTTCTCATCTCGCAGGTTCTTGTCGATCCTGGTGGAGCCTCCTGCCATGGTCCTGCTAGATTGCCATTGCCAATACTGTTGTTGCTGTGTCTCTCTCTCTCTCTCTCTCTCTCTCTCTCTCTCTCTCTCTCTCTCAGGACTCCAACCACATTTTACTGCATTAAGCACAAACACTCCTCACTGATGCAGCTTCACACTGACAGTGCCACAGTTTCACTGTCATGGTCTTATTGATCTTAAACTTTTTATTACCACTTAATCTTACCTTTTATCTGGGTTTCATACATTTTATCTCATTCTTGACAGACAATCCTGTACCTGCCGTGCACTGAGTGCCACCACCTGCAGAGAGCAAGCAGGATATCGTTCACCTGAAGATATCAGATAATAATCAGATGGTTTTTACTGACTCTGCCTCTGCCCGGCTGCAACGAGCTGCTGTTTCTAACACTGTCCTCGGGGACACATCGGAGACCATCCTCCTGCTCGATCCCAAACTCCCAGGCCTCTTGGACCGAAGGGTTAGTTATAAACCTCAAGAAGAAATGATGTTTCACCTTTGGCCCTCAACCTCTTAAACTGCTCCGGGACTCTACCCAGGGAAGCTTCAGTTCACCTTGCAGATGTATCCTTGGCTGTCCTGCTGCTGAGCATATATTCTCTATTTATGTTATGAAATATCATTGTTCATCACCAAGTCGGTTATCGTTTTTATGCTGATGACACTCAGTTGTATCTCTGTTGCACAAAACAACCCAAAACACTGCTCACCCTCACTGACATTGTTGTATGGATGAGTGAAACTTATTAAAGCTAAATGAGGAAAGAACAGATTGTGTCAATGGGACCCAAATCACACACTTAACGCTGGGCGAACAGGAACATTAACACAACGTCATAAATTTGTGATTTGTGATTCTTTGGATTGCAATTCTCATTTGAGCAGAGTAATTAAAAGTAATGTTTTAAGTCAAGACGATACTGAAATACTCACTTTTATCAGCAGTTGTTTAGATCACTGTAGAAAGATCCTGGCTCAGAGCGCTGAGTCAGAGTCTGAACTAAAACTAGGAAAATGGATCACGTCACTCTGCTGGAGACACTGGCTGCCTGTAGTTATTGTATTTGTTTATAAAGCTTTAAATGACCTCCATACATCAGAGACCCTCTTTCATTTCAGACTCAGAGGTCTTTGAAATGTCCCTGATTCCATTCAGTTCAGTAAAATTGTATTTGTATAGCGCCAGTTCATAAGGAGATAATATAATATCTCTCTATGACTTTGCAAACATGGTAGGTCTAGTCTACTCCTTATAAAGTATATAATAATATAAATAATGTGTCCCAAAAGTATGAATAACAAGCTCTCAGCATCTTTTTAATCTGGCTTTTACTTTTGAGTAATGTTAGTTTTTAGGTTTGTTTTTTTACATTATTTGTCTCCCTGGTGTTTTTACGATGTTTTTAAAATAGTTTTTATTGTATTGTATTTTAGCCTTTAGCACAGTTTTATTTATGGTGGTTCATGTTGTTGTATTAGAGGTACTGTAGAAGGTGCTGGTGTATAATCAGTTTATTCCTAGTAAAAACCGGCATTGCGCCCCCTTGCGGCGCCGCTTTCTGACCGGGTTCTGTGGCTCTGATGTCAGTTTCTGGAAGCTTCCAGTGATGGAAACTAAAAGCTGCTGATACCTGATCTGTTGACCATCAGTCTGACTCACTTCACTCCACCCACTGCTTCACCTGAACAACAGGTGTCAGTTACTGATGCATTCAGGGGCTGTCGGACATCCCAACATTCACATTCAGTAGAAAGGACAGTAATTATAGTGTTGGATGTTTCTGCAGTAATCTGAACGCTCAGGAACATTTTTATTATTATTAACAACTTTTTAGTGTCTTCTTTTAAATATTTATATAAAACTGAATCAGATACCAGAGACGTTTCTGTGCTCATTGGTTCCTTAAACAGGAAACATGTTCATTACATTTAAAAATGATGAAACCAGCAGCAAGTAATGGTCATATTTCCAGGAGCACCTGAAGGCAGCGTGCAGCCTGTTACCAGAGATTGTGTGTTGAGAAGATGAGTCACTCTGTTACAGAAGCTGCTCCTACACTGACTTTCAGTATTTATGTGTCATTTAAACAAAATATTACCGACCGCTGCTAATGGTGCCACTAGCCTAATTCAACCCTGACACTGACTCTGTTGACACCATTTTAACAAGAACGACTCTCTAACTGCCTCTGATTGGTTCCAGACTAATCAGTGAATTGCGGAGGGTAAGATGTGCTACAACATTAATGTGCTGTTGAACATCCTCATTAGTCTTTCTGTGACTGGGTCCACCAGTGTCCAGTGTCCAAGTCTTTATGGAAACACATGACGCGTAATGCAAATAACAATAATGCAGATTATGGTTCGATGGTTTATTCCTCCAGTTAGCAGTGATATTCTGTATTTTATGATACATTAGGAACAGTTTAAAATGTGGATCTGTGCAATGAGAGTTTTCTTCTGCTGCAACTGACTGTTTCCTGAAAGTGGCGTCAGAGTGAGAGCTCTTAGTGTTCTGACTGATCTGTGCAGGGACCAGATCCACAGCTGACAGACCTCCAGAGTCCTCCAGAGCTCAGAAACCCTGCTGCTGGCAGCATCTGTCCCTCTACCGATCGATCAATCAACTGATAGACTGATCGATCAGATCCCAGGCCGATGTCAAACTGAACTCCGGCTCTTCTCTGGTTCAGTGTGGTTTCTGTCGAGATGCCGGTCCAGATCCCGGACGACTCAGACTTCTCCTCATTCAAAGACCAGTGCCTGAGTGTGGACGGATGGGTCAGCCGCTACAACAAGGGTGGAGTGACGGTGTGGTGCCGCGAGGAGGAGAGCCGGAGCGTCCAGAAGCTCAAGGTGAGCTGGGACTTCCTGTTTGGAGGGTTTTCACAGTAAAAGTTTCATCTGGGGATACAAGGCTTTCAGGTCAATTAGAACCATTAATCGATCGATTAGTTGATCAACAGAAAACAAACATAATCCAATAATTGTTCTGTGATTCAATATTACAGCAAACACAGAACAGTAAACTGTAACAGAGCCGCAACTGATCAGTCTTTTCTTTATTGATTCATCTACCGATCATTTTCTCCATTAATCGATTAGTTGAAAAAAAGAAAACGAACATAATCGTATTTTTTGGGGGGCAAAATTGCTTTTCTCAACAAAGAGCTACAACTGATGATTTCATTGTTGATTTGTCTGCTGATCATTTTCTCCATTAATCGATTAGTTGATTGAAAGAAAATGTCAGAAAATCACAAGTTCACACTAAGAAACTGAAATCAGAGAATTTTGATTTTTTTACAAAATGACTCAAAAAGACGAATCAATTATCAATATAGCTGCTGTTTAATTCAATAGATGAACTATATTTCTGATTATGTTTTACATTTTATGGACCAAATAGTAATTAGATTGATAACCAGCAGATTGATGCTTATGAATTGGCGCTATACAAATAAAATTGAATTGAATTGAATTGAATTGATCATTTAATATGATCATTTAAAACTTTCAATAGAATATATGATATTGATTTTAAAATGATTACAAACTCCACATTCATTCAATTCAGTTCAATTTTATTTGTATAGCACCAATTCATAACAGAAGTTATCTCAGGACACTTTTCAAATAGAGCAGGTCTAGACCGAACTCTTTATAACATTATTTACAGAGACCCAACAGTACCACCATGAGCAAGACCTTGGAGACAGCTGCAAGGAAAAACTGCCTGTTAAAAGGCAGAAACCTAGGACAACCATCAGATATATTGATTGTAAAAAGAGAAAAAATGTAACAGACCAACATCAGACCATAAATACACAATAAAGTCAATCAGTTATAAATACTGTATATGACAGGTTGTCGGGTCGCTGCCTTGCTTAGTGGCTCCTCAGCGGCCTGTCCTCTGTCCTCTTCCTCTCTCCTCTCTTCTCTGTCCTCTCACTTCTGTCCTCTTCCTCTGTCCTCTCTCCTCTGTCCTCTGACCCACATATTGTGAACAGCTGTTCAGAGATTGTAAACAGCGTTGGCCTCCTGCAGAGGAAACACAAACCGCTGCTCACCGCTGAAATATTCAGAGCGGAAAGGAAAACGTAACGGCTGGAAACCCAAGGACAGAGGACAGAGGACAGAGGAGAGAGGAAGACGACAGAGGAAGAGGACAAAGGAGAAAGGAGAGAGGACAGAGGACAGAGGATGACGACAGAGGACAGAGGAAGAGGACAGAGGAAGAGGAAGATGACAGAGGAGAGAGGACAGAGGAAGAGGACAGAGACAGAGGAAGAGGACAGAGGAGAGATTAAGAGGACAGAGGAGAGAGGACAGAGGAAGAGGACAGAGGAAAAGGACAGAGGAAGAGGACAGAGGAGAGAGGACAGAGGAAGAGGACAGAGGAAGAGGACAGATAGATAGATAAATAGATAGATAGATACTTTATTTATCCCGAGGGAAATTCAAGTATCCAGTAGCAGCATACAAACATACATTAAACATACATTAAACCTACATTAAACTAAAATTAAAAACCCTAACCGTGATAATAGAATAAAAAATAAAATAGAAAATAAAATATAAAGTATTATATATATATATAAATTAACAGTAGCTACAGTAAACAGTGCAAACAGTAAGCAGTGCAAATGGAAGTAAAACAGTGCAAATGGATGTGCAAATACAGATAGAACTTGTCCATTGTCTATTAATTCAATTCAATTCAGTTTTATTTGTATAGCGCCAATTCATAACAGAAGTTATCTCATGACACTTTAATATACTATTATCTATTGTCCTCCCTGCCTTTACTGAGAGCTGTTGTACAGTCTGATGGGGGACGAAAGAGTTTTTGAGTCTGTTGGTGGAGCTGGATTGGGACAGCAGTCTGCCACTGAACACACTCCTCTGCCTGGTGAAGGTGTTGTGCAGAGGGTGGTGGGTGTTGTCCAGTATTGACAGCAGTTTGTCCAGGGTCCTTTTTTCTGCTACTGTCACCACTGAGCCAGCTCTCCTCACCAGTCTGTCCAGTCGACCGGCGTCTCTCTTCTTGCTGCTTCCTCCCCAGCAAACCACAGCATAAAAGAGCACACTGGCCACCACAGCCTGGTAAAACATCTGCAGCAGTTATTTGCAGATGTTGAAGGACCCCAGCCTTCTCAGGAAGTACAGACGGCTCTGCCCTTTCCTGGGTAAAGCGTCCATATTTGCTGTCCAGTCCAGCTTGTCGTCCAGCTGCAGCCCCAGATATTTATAGGTCCTGACCACCTCCACATCGACCCCCTCGATGGCCACGGGTCTGAAGTCCACCACCATCTCCTTGGTCTTGGAGGTGTACAGCTGGAGATGGTTGGACCTGCACCATATCACAAAGTCCTCGACCAGGCTCCTGTATTCCCCCTCCCGTCCATCCTTGATACAGCCGACTATCGCAGTGTCGTCTGAGTATTTCTGCATGTGGCAGAGCCCGGAGTTGTACTGGAAGTCAGATGTGTACACGGTCAAAAGGACGGGAGAGAGCACGGTCCCCTGTGGTGCTCCGGTTCTGCTGACCACGGTGTCTGACGTGCAGCCCTTCAGTCGGACGTACTGTGGTCTCTCCATGAGGTAGTCCGTAATCCATGTCACCAGGAGTGGGTCCACCCTCATTTCTGTCAGCTTGTCTCTCAGCAGGAGCAGCCGGATGGTGTTGAAGGCACTGGAGAAATCAAAAAACGCAATTCTCACAGCGCCGCTCTCCTTGTCCAGATGAGAATACGCCCTATGGAGCAGATAGAGGATGGCATCCTTCACGCCCACCTTCTCCTGGTATCCAAACTGCAGTGGATCTTGTGACAGAGGTCTTTGAGGAAGCTACAGGCGGTGAGAGTTGAGCAGCCGTCTCCAACCTGCAACGACAGCTGCAGGAAAAGTTCCCTGAACTTGTTGGACTGAAGAAATGAAGGAAGGTTTTGTTGTTGAGCTCGGGTTCTGCTGCATTCACGGACTCAGACAGACCAGGACCGGACAGTATTCAGGACAGACCCGCGTCAGTGTTTATGGGACTGACCTTTACAGCTGATAGTGTTCAGTGTTCATCATCCACAATGTAAATGTGATCATTAATATCTGCTGTATATTTATATTATTTATTAAATCGATTGGACGCCAGCTGGTTGAACAGATCTGAACTTTAATTGTTTTATTGTCAAACATTTGTTTAGTTATAATTATTAAATTATTGGATTGGTATTGGTATGTCCGACTTTAAGTTTTGACATTTGAAAGGTTTATTTAAGTTTAAGTTTAAGTTTAAGCTTTAAGCTTTAAGCTTTAAGCTTTAAGCCAGAGTGGACCAAACGGTGTCAGTGTGTATAACCAGCGTCTGTTCGTTAGCTATGTGGCTGCTCTGCTAGCAGCCAGCTAACAGTTAGCGGAGGCTAACTGCTGTGAGTGTTTGCGAGAAAGACGAGACGTCTGCAGCGTCACACTGACCTCCATCTGGAACCGGATCCTCCTGCAGACCCACAACCAGCAGCTGCTCTGTTTACACTCTTTGTATCAGGATCAGCATGAATGAATGATGGATTATTTAAACATTGAGGATTTACAGTCTGGTGTCGTCGGCTTCAGACTGTACGAATCCTTTAGCGTCTCTCCTTGACGCGTCCGCCTAGTGTTCCAATGAAGTCAGGTGGCGCGGTGTGAAGAGGTCCACAATATGGAGGTTGTGGGGTTGATGGACAGATCAGACAAACACCTTCATGTGACCTCTGAAACCAAATGTCAACATTCTGTTAAAGAGGCTTAAACACGAGTCAGTGTGGGCAACAGGACTGGATCCAGTGAGGAGCAGCAGCAAAATAAAGATGAAGGTTGTCAGATGGATCAGTTATAGGTATAAAATATATCTCACTGCCTCTGAGGATCTCCTTCATATTGTTTCAATGTAAAACATGAAAACTAAATGAGCTAGCAGACAGTTCAATGATTAATAAGAGCAGAAATATCGAAGTGATCCTGAGAGAAAAGACGCAAGGAAGAATCAGAGAGTTCGTCATCGTTATCGGTGTGCAGAAAGAGGAAACAGGAGATAATCTGTACCTGTCATTATTGATGACTCTGACCTGCGTCAGTGTTTCTACCCTCAGGTCACTCACAGAGAGTTTGACCTGAGGCCGGCCGCAGGAAATGAACCTCAGGAAGTTAACCACAGGAAGTGAACCGCAGGAAGTCACTGCAGACAGATGGGACACTCACACACTGAAGTAGAGCTGCTGCTGATGTTGATGATGATAATGTTGATGATGATGATGTTGATGATGATGATGATGTTGATGATGATGGCGGCTCCTGTATTAATAATTCAAGCAGTCTTTCTGGAGCAGCGAGGTGCTTCTTCTCACATATGAATAATTAAAATATCGTTGGGAGCTGACGACATCTCAAACTGAACCCAGGAGATGTTTAACAGCCGCGTACCTGTGGTCAGGTGTTCATATCAGAACCTGAACACATCACAGACTGACTTTATTTACTAACTTTATTATCACTGTACAAACACACAACTTTATTATCACTGTACAAACACACAACTTTATTAACACTGTACAAACACAGCTTTATTAACACTGTACAAACACACAACTTTATTAACACTGTACAAACACACAACTTTATTAACACTGTACAAACACAACTTTATTAACACTGTACAAACACACAACCTTATTAACACTGTACAAACACACAACTTTATTAACACTGTACAGACACAACTTTATTAACACTGTACAAACACACAACTTTATTAACACTGTACAAACACACAACTTTATTATCAATGTACAAACACACAACTTTATTATCACTGTACAAACACACAACTTTATTAACACTGTACAAACACACAACTTTATTAACACTGTACAAACACACAACTTTATTAACACTGTACAAACACACAACTTTATTAACACTGTACAAACACACAACTTTATTAACACTGTACAAACACACAACTTTATTAACACTGTACAAACACACAACTTTATTAACACTGTACAAACACAACTTTATTAACACTGTACAAACACACAACCTTATTAACACTGTACAGACACAACTTTATTAACACTGTACAAACACACAACTTTATTAACACTGTACAAACACACAACTTTATTATCACTGTACAAACACACAACTTTATTATCACTGTACAAACACACAACTTTATTAACACTGTACAAACACAACTTTATTATCACTGTACAAACACAACTTTATTAACACTGTACAAACACACAACTTTATTAACACTGTACAAACACATAACTTTATTATCACTGTACAAACACACAACTTTATTAACACTGTACAAACACACAACTTTATTATCACTGTACAAACACACAACTTTATTAACACTGTACAAACACACAACTTTATTATCACTGTACAAACACACAACTTTATTAACACTGTACAAACACAACTTTATTAACACTGTACAAACACAACTTTATTATCACTGTACAAACACAACTTTATTAACACTGTACAAACACAACTTTATTATCACTGTACAAACACAACTTTATTAACACTGTACAAACACAACTTTATTATCACTGTACAAACACAACTTTATTAACACTGTATAAACACAACTTTATTAACACTGTACAAACACAACTTTATTATCACTGAACAAACACAACTTTATTATTACTGTACAAACACAACTTTATCAGAGATTTGGTGAAACTGGATCATATATTATGGAGAGAATATTATCTGGTTTTCTGCCTCAACTCCGCTAACTGCTGCTAATGGTAATGTTAGCCAACATAGCCCCGGGGTGGCAGGAGCAAAATCCTGCAATATAAACACCTCAGTCCTTTATTCCCTGCAGTCAACTGTCCTCCGTCCGCATTAGATGCTGCATTCAGTCCCGGTCTGGACCTGCTGTTCACTCGAAGCTCCCAGTCCAACAGAGTCAGCTAATGGATCCACTACAGCTGCTGGACTGGGGGGACGTAGCACACATTCAAATACAAGAAAGCATTTTGAAGCATTTCCATACTTTTAGTGCTAGCTCACAAAAGAACAGACAACAGAACAATAATTAAGTCTGGATGAAACACTGGCGGGAAATAAGACCTCTGCATCAGACTTTAGTTATCGGTACGTTACGAAAGTGAAGGCGATCTTGGTGACTCAAAGATAACACCAAGACTCCTGACTGTCCAGCTGAGATATACTTGCTGGTCAATGTGAGACTGAAGTTCTCTGGTTGATGTTTTAATAATGGACTATATTATTAGTGATTTAACTGCAGTCACAGTATCAGCGTTGGTTAAACGGAGGAGGAATATCTGCTGAGTGACGGACAGACAAAGACGTGAAGCTCTTTATGAATGATTAACGCTGCGGCCGAGCTGTGCTGATTGAGTTACATGGAGCATTTTACAGCGTTCACCCTCACAGTATCGGATGACCGCCGCTCAGCCGAGCCCGACACTCCTGGAAGATTACAGCAGTGGAAAACAGTGACGTCCTACAGTGAGCGGTCGTCTCACATGACGTCCAGAACTCTGTCTGACTGTCTGTCTGCACAATCTCTAAAACAATGGTTGAACATCGTCTCCTCCTTCCACTGGAACAGAAGACCTATATCTTTTCTCCGGAAGAAACGCGAAGAACTGAAAATTAACACATAAAATGTTGTTTCTGCTGTTTCTTGGTTGTTGTTTTTTTACTATATTTCTTTACTATTTTTATATTTCATAATTCAATTCAATTCAATTCAATTCAATTTTATTTGTATAGCGCCAATTCATAACAGAAGTTATCTCAGGACACTTTTCAAATAGAGCAGGTCTAGACCGAACTCTTTAACATTAATTACAGAGACCCAACAGTACCACCATGAGCAAGCACTTGGCGACAAGGGCAAGGAAAAACTGCCTGTTAAAAGGCAGAAACCTAGGACAGATCCTCCGGCTCTAGGTGGGTGGTCGTCTGTCTCGACCAGTTGGGGTGAGAGAGAGAGAGAGAGAGAGAGAGAGAGAGAGAGAGAGAGAGAGAGAGAGAGAGAGAGAGAGAGGCAGAGAGAGAGAGGCAGAGAGGCAGAGAGAGAGAGGCAGAGAGAGAGAGCGAGAGACAGACAGACAGACAGGTGCACAGCAACAACAGTATTGGCAATGGCAGTCAAGCAGGACCATGGCAGGAGGCTCCACCAGGATCCATGAGAACCTGCGAGACGAGAAAGCACAAGAACTCCGGGGAAGAAGTGGAGTTAGTAACATGCATTAAAGGGACATGAATGAGTGCAGAAAGAGAGAGGAAGAGAGTAGCTCAGTGCACCATGGGAAATCCCCCGATAGTCTAGGCCTATAGCAGCATAACTAAGGGATGGTTCAGGACTCACCTGATCCAGCCCTAACTATAAGCTTTATCAAAGAGGAATGTCTTAAGCCTACTCTTGAATGTGGTGAGGGTGTCTGCCTCCCGAACCACAACTGGAAGCTGGTTCCACAGGAGAGGAGCTTGGTAACTGAAGGCTCTGGCTCCTGTTCTACTTTTAGAGACTATAGGAACCACAAGTAGCCCAGCATTCAGAGAACGTAGTGTTCTAGTGGGGTAATAGGGTACTATGAGCTCTTTAAGATATGAAGGGGCCTGACCATGAAGAGCTTTATAGGTGAGGAGGAGGATTTTAAATTCAATTCTACATTTTATAGGGAGCCAATGCAGAGTAGCTAGTACAGGAGAGATGTGATCTCTTTTTCTAGTTCCTGTCAGTACTCGTGCTGCAGCGTTCTGAATTAATTGGAGCGTTTTAATGGACTTATTGGGGCAACCTGATAATAAAGAGTTGCAGTAATCCAGCCTTGAAGTAACAAATGCATGGATTAGTTTTTCTGCATCTGTCTGTGATAGTATGTGTCTAATTTTTCTAATATTACGTAAATGAAAGAAGGCAGTCCTAGAGGTCTGCTTTATGTGGGAGTTAAATGACAAAAATCCTGATCAAAGATAACTCCAAGATTCCTGACAGTGGCGCTAGAGGCCAAGTTAATGCCATCTAGAGTGACTATATCTTTAGACAATGAGTCTCTAAGGTTTTTGGGGCCAAGAACAAGAATTTCGTTTTTTTCTGAGTTTAACATCAGAAAATTGCAGGTCATCCAGGATTTTATGTCCTTAAGACATGTTTGTAATTTAGGTAATTGATTAATTTCATTGGGTTTGATTGATAGATATAACTGCGTATCATCTGCATAACAGTGAAAGTTAATGGAGTGATTCCTAATAATGTTGCCTAAAGGGAGCATATATAAAGTAAATAGTATTGGTCCAAGTACAGAACCTTGTGGAACTCCATGACTAACTTTAGTATTTATGGAGGATTCATCGTTAACATGTACAAACTGAGAACGATCTGATAAGTATGACTTAAACCAGGTTAGGGCGGTTCCTTTAATGCCAATTTGATGCTCAAGTCTCTGTAAAAGAATATCATGGTCAATGGTGTCAAATGCAGCACTAAGATCTAATAATACAAGTACAGAGACAAGTCCATTGTCAGAAGCAGTCAGAAGGTCATTATTAACTTTAACCAGAGCTGTCTCTGTGCTATGATGAACTCTAAATCCTGACTGAAAATCCTCAAATAAACTATTGTTATGTAGAAAGTCACACAACTCTTTGGCGACTACTTTCTCCAGAATCTTAGAGAGGAACGGGAGGTTAGAAATCGGTCTATAGTTGGCCAAAACCCCTGGGTCAAGAGTGGACTTTTTAAGAAGGGGCTTAATTACAGCTACTTTAAAGGACTGTGGTACATATCCTGATAATAAAGAAAGATTAATCATATCCAGTAAAGAAGTGCCAATTAAGGGAACAACTTCTTTAAGCAGCCTAGTTGGGATCGGGTCTAATAGACAGGTTGATGGCTTCGATGAAGAAATGATTGAAGTTAACTGATGAAGATCGATAGCAGAGAAACAGTCTAAATATACATCTAAGTTTACATTGACAGAAGTCCCTGAACTTGGAGAGCCACTGATAACTGTTGATGGCAGTTGGTGATTAATTTTCTCTCTAATAGTAATAATTTTATTATAGAAGAAGCTCATGAAGTCATTGCTACTTAAGTTTATGGGGATATGTGGCTCAATAGAGCTGTGACTCTCTGTCAGCCTGGCTACAGTGCTGAAGAGGAACCTAGGGTTGTTCTTATTTTCTTCTATTAGTGCTGAGTAATAGGCTCCTCTGGCATTACGGAGGGCCTTTCTATAAATCTTAAGATCATCTTGCCAATTTGAGCGATATTCTGATAATTTGGAAGAGCGCCATTTCCTTTCAGATTTTCTAGCTATTTGTTTTAACTGGCGGGTTTGGTGGTTATACCAAGGTGCTAGTCTCCTATGTTTTAATAATTTCCTTTTTATAGGAGCGATAGAGTCTAATGTTGATCGTAGTGAGCCTGTAGCACTATCGACAAGATTATCAATTTCAGAGGGACTAAAGTCGTTATAGGACTCTGTTAAATTCAGACATGGCATTGAATTAAACACTGAAGGAATCTCCTCCTTAAATTTAGCTACAGCACTGTCAGATAGACATCTGCTGTAGGAAGTTTTGCCTAATGGCTTATAATCTAATAGTATGAATTCAAAAGTTACTAAATAATGGTCAGATAGGAAAGGATTATGTGGGAAGACTATTAAATGTTCAATATCAATGCCATATGATAAAACAAGGTCAAGAGTGTGATTAAAACAATGAGTTGGTTTATTTACACTCTGACAGAAGCCAATTGAGTCTATTAATGATATAAATGCATTACTAAGGCTGTCATTGTCAACATCCACATGAATATTAAAATCACCTACAATAATTACTTTATCTGATTTAAGGACTAAGCTTGATAGAAACTCTGAAAATTCAGATATAAAATCAGAGTACGGTCCAGGAGCGCGGTACACTATAACAAATAGAACTGGCTGCAGTGTTTTCCAGTTTGGGTGAGAAAGACTAAGAACAAGGCTTTCAAATGAATTATAATTTAGTTTAGGTTTAGGGTCCATTAAAACGCTCGAATCATATATGGCTGCCACTCCACCTCCTCGGCCAGTAAGTAAGATATCTACAATTAAAATGATATCCCTGGTTTATTAGTTTATCCTATACACACAATTATTTTAAGGCCATTACAAACTCTAATTAGTTTGAGAGTAAACAGACGATAACAAAATAATATCTCACTGGAAACTGATCTAAAATGTCAATAAAATAAACAACATCAGTCCTTCGTCCTTCCCTCTCAGATCTGACTGCTGCTGCTAGAATATATTATATATATATATACATTATATTTCTGAAGCTGAGCTATCTTGGACTCAAACATTGTCTTTATAAATATTTATATATCTGCCAATAAATAAACTAAAACAAAGACAGGAAGTGAGGTAACTGACATGAGAGGAGGAGTGAGAATTACAAAATAAAACAGGAAACATCTAAACTAAAACCTAAAACGTGACAAATACGACAGAAATTAGAGAGATAGCAATGCTGATAGCGCTGGGTGTCATTAGCATAAAAATAAAAATATTTGTCCCCAAGAGAAACAGGAAACAATAAAGGACCTAAAACGGAGCCCTGAGGTACACCACAGAATGAGGTTGGACTGGAACCAGAGCCGGATCAGATCTCAGGATGATTAAACAGGACGCTGCGGTGCTGCCTTTGCTAAGACTCATGGGAAATGTTGTTAGAGAGCTGAAGGTTAAACACTGAAATCCCAGACTGCCTGATAAGATCTGAGCGGGGAAAGTGAAGCTTTGCTGTCCCAGTAAGCTGAGGATGAGCCGCTGAGCAAGGCATCGTATGATCAGGTGTCTCCGTTCACAACAGAACCGTCAGTTTGGTTCATAAGGTACAGAAAACAGGAAATGAACCAGTCCCTGTATTTATTTTATTCATTTTATACCAGATACAATAATCAATAATCAAACCTCAACCAAAATCAATTCAGCTGACGAACATAGTCCCTGATTGTCATCACATCATTCATCACCGTACTGAACCCTGCTGGTTTCATTATTTCTCCATACAGTTGGATGTATAATGTGGACTCCACATCCATCAACATTAAGGTTTTGCATTACATAAATTAATCTGTATGGTTGCAATGCAAGGACCTCTGGTGGACAGGTGGTGAATGACAGCGTCTTTAATTATTATATTTATCTGTGTTTTTATTGCCTCTTTGTGGGAATGGGTATTTGTTTGTAATGTTTATTGTTTTGTTGACTGATGCTTGTTTACCAACAATATAATTATACATCGAAAGAGAGAAATAAAATGCAAAGCTAATGTTATTTCAAACAAAGTCAACAGCTCGTTATACGTTACTAATTATTTTTCTCTGCTAACGATTACAATGTAATAAATTAGTGTGAAATAATGTTTAAAAAATAGAGATTAATAATCCGAGTTATTGATCCAACAGTGGAAATAATCTCAGCAGGTTCATCCGCGTCTGTTATGCAATATGTCATCCTACACGTCTACATTAATAACTCAGTCCATAAAAACCATCTGAAGTTCAGAGACACTGAATCCTCTCGACCTGCTCACACTCAGCAGCTTGTTGTTATTGTTGTTATTGTTATTATTATTAAAATGATTGACTGAAAACAAAGAGCAGCTCCTGAATGTTCACACAATTTTTTATAATCATATAATGATATCTATTAATTTCATAATCTGTGTATTTACTGTCATATTTGTGACTTATATGTTTAGTATGTTGTGATAATCTGTGAGATTAAACCAGCCTCCACTATAAAGTAGTTTCAATCCAGTATGAGACTGGTAAGGAGTAAACTGTCGGGGTGTTCTCCACATGTTTACCATATTTCTTGATTTGATCAGATTATTTAGTGTTTGAGTTCATCGTAATATAAACTGATATATTGATCTGATCAATTCAGAGCAGCATTGTAGTGAAACTCAATATGAGGAATATAATCACAGCAAATGGCGCAGAGTGATATTACAGTACTGACTGATCTGTTGTTTCCATACTAAGAATGAACTTTCATGATGAACCTTTAATCCACTCTGGTGAGACGTTGCAGAGGATCATGGGACGTTTCAGCGGCTGATGAAGCCTATGCATGAAATGTTGCGTTTCTGTCTGTCTGTCTGTGTCTCAGATGAGGATAGTGTGTAAGGATGTGACGGCGGAGACGCTGTACGACGTCCTCCACGACACCAGCTACCGCAAGAAGTGGGACACCAACATGATTGACACGTACGACATCGGCAGGCTGACCGCCAACGCCGACATCGGATATTACTCCTGTCAGTCCTTCGGAGCGCCGCCGGTCTGCGTATCTTTATTCTTATTGTAATGTTTAGCTCCAACCTGACGGTACTGTGCGTGTCTGCAGGGAAATGTCCCAGTCCTCTGAAGAACAGAGACTTTGTGACGATGAGATCTTGGCTTCCTCTCGGCAACGACTACCTGATCATCAACTACTCCGTCAAACACCCAGTAAGCATTAATGTTGAGTTTGTTGTTATTACTGAGCTACAGTCTGTCCATCAGTCAAAGAGATTTTTAGCTGTTCATGTAAACAGACAACCCCATTGGTCTGTGGAGCTCTGAAACCTCCAGTTGGGCTTTATGGTCGTCTCCATGTTGGTGTTTAGCAGCCAGCAGAGGTCACATAAAGCGAGTTGAGCTGCCCTCATTGGCTGCTCTCCTGCTCACACAGGATCTGATATTCCAGATAAACAGTAAAATGTGTTTGTGAACAGATGTGAGGAGAGAAATAGTCAACAACAGAATCTGGATCCATATCTGATCAGCACTGTTTGACAGTTTGATCTGAGTTTGGTGTGTTGAGCTGGACGGACTCACTGAGAATGAGCTGTCAATCACAAGGTAGCCCCGCCCTAAAGCATACCCTGCTTTATGGTCTGTTTTACTCTAAATGGGACCATCAGTTACTAAATGAACATCATGCTGTATGGAAGAAGACTGAAACTAGAGACTGAGACCAGAAACTCATCAGGAAACTGTTAACTGATCTCATGAATCAACTTCTGCATAAGACTCAATACTATCAGAGTGGAGCTGCCCCCTGCTGGCTGTTAGAGAGACTGCAGGTTTAACACACTGTCCATTATGTAAACTCAATGCTAATGGCAGGGTTTTATGACATCATGTCTGCAACACAGTTTAGCTCTGTCTTCCCACCAATAGTGATTCAGAAGCTTCTTCCTGTCCGACACTATGTTCATTGTTTTATAGGTTTTATATTATTTATACTTTGATGTAGCAGGAAATTCAATCTGGAGTTTATTTGGAAGATTGAGCAGATTCTCTTTGTCTTTCCTGTGAAACAACAACTGTCTCCTCTGTGCGGCTCCTCAGCAACACCCTCCTAAGAAGGACTACGTCCGAGCCGTGTCCCTGCTGACCGGATACCTGATCCAGTCCAACGGAGCCAACTGTTCCACCCTCTACTACCTGACCCAGGTGGACCCCAAAGGTCAGAACATACACAGGTTACAGACTGAGTGCAGTGACAGGAATAATAGACATTATCTGATCCAATGGAGTTTGGTTGATCAGAGCAATGACAACAAGTTGGGGGAGGCACCTCTGTGGCTCACAGCAGACTTCAGAAATCAGAAACACCGTTTCTAAAGATGTCTGTCTCTCTATTAATGTCCACACAATGTCTTTAACTCATATTGGTCTCCACAGACTGTCAGTAAGGTGTCGTCCTCTCTGTCTGCAGGTTCGTTACCGAAGTGGGTGGTGAACAGAGTCTCTCAGTTTGTGGCTCCAAAGGTAAAATCTGCAAACAGAAACCTCCTGTCTGTCTCCTCTCCACGTTCAGTAAATTCTCACTGTGTCCTCTCCTCTCAGGCCATGAGGAAGATCTACAAGGCGTCTCTGAAGTATCCGGACTGGAAGAGGAAGCACAACCCCAACCTGAAGCCGTGGATGTTTCCGGAGCAGAACTCGCTGCCATGCATGAGCGTGTCGGAGCTGACGGTGCAGCGAGCCGACTCTCTGGAGAACATCGACGAGAGCGGCCTGAGCGAGGAGAAGACGCACCACAGCGACGACGAAGAGACTTAAAGGAGACGGACGCCTGTCACTGTGTGCTGGTTGGTTTGTTTGTCAGACTGATGGGACCAGACTCCAGCTGGATTCTGACTGTTTTTAGCTCACAATTCTCCTCAGTTCAACTCTTTGGTTCAGTCTGTAAATGTTCAGTGTGTTTCAGATTCATATTCGTTTACTTCATTAAAGTCTCTACAGGTGTTTCCAGGTGTTCTGCTCTCAGGTTAGAAAAAGGACAGTGACAGTTAACAGAGTGTCTGCAGGGAAGTCTAATATCCAATAATTGAAAGGAAGCAGCGTGGGATCATGGGAGTTGTTTCCTTCCCCACCATTGGCGTCATTGCAGTCAGCTTCTCCCGGTTAGGATTCCTTCAGTGTTCATGGTTCAGGAGGTTTCTACCGGGAGCCCAATGATCCACAGAGGTCTCCTCCTCTCCAAAACAAACAGACCCGCTGATTAAAACCACTTAAAACACTGAATAAAGCAGTTCCACCTTAACAATCACTGCTTCTCCCACGCTGTTGGACAGACAGAGGATGTCCTGGAGGGGCTGCCAAAAACATAAAACACACTGAGAAAGTTTCTCATCATCTTGAGCTAAGTCAGTATTTACATAATATACAGTTCCATGGAGGCAAAACTATAGATCAGCAGAGCAGCTCACGTCTTATGAGGAATCTGAATCCAGTTAGTTAATTAATCCACATTATAGGACCGTAATTTAACATGTTCAGCACAGATATTAAACACAGATGAGGGTATTTCATTCAGGTGCACAGTCACGTGTTCATGTTTCTAACAGCTGGAGTCACTATAAGCAGCCATTCAGCCAAAAGTCACCAGTCATACACCAATAATATCCTTCAAATATTAATAATCTGTGAACTATATGAGCTGAAAGAAACACAATAAACCCTCCGACCAGCAGGGGGCAATAAGACCTGCAAGAGAGAGAATAAAAGGACAGATGTCTCTGGGTTTGAACATATTATAGATTCCAGCTTTTAAAAACCGACATAAAACAAATACTTTGTTCTTTATCTTCCTTTTGGACGTAATATAGTTCTGAAGATGCTTCGAAAAAGGCTCTTCAAAAGGTCGTAATTCAACCTGCTTTAAGTCTGACATTGTGAGGAATATTTCCTGTTTTAAATTCTCTTTCATTATCAGATTATTATTATTATTATTATTGTTGTTGTTATTGTTATTATTAGTCTGAGTGTGAGTGTTTAAGTTCTTCTTGTTGAATGAAAGTCTTATTGTTGGTTTGCTCATTATTCTTTAATATGCGTGCCTGCAGCGCCCTCCAAGGGGCAGATAACCTCACTACAGCCTGGACTAATGAATCGATCCTGATCTTATCATCATATTGATTAATGGCTGTGAGCTGAGTCTGAAGTTTGTTCAAAAGATTCTCTTTTCCTCAATAAAGTTAATATTTTTCTGTCAACAGTTTATTATTGATCACATGTTAAAGATGATTTAAGCTGCTTTTTCTTCATGTTTGACATCTGCTAATATTGTCCTTTAAAGTCCTTCCTCCAGACATGTGTTGCATGCTTGGATCAATAATGTGTGTCTGATATGTTAGTATATAAGTATAAGTATAATTTCCACATTAAAATACCTCATTAAAAACTCCACAATCTGTGAATATGCAAATGTTTTCCTGCTTTCTTTCACTGTAAAGTCTCAGTGTGCTGCTGGATCACACCTGGACCAGGATCCACTTCCTGACTATTTGTGATGTCACAGATCAAACTGGTAGGCCCCGCCCCTTAAAAAATCACCAAAAACCAACATGTTTATAATGTTTTTAATTATCCTCTGAAAGAAGAACAGTTTGGGATGTTGCTGGTTCTCTTTACATTTTCAGGTCCTAGTCTGAGGTGGTGGGTCACAAGACTGAACCAGACCTGGACCTGGTGTGGTTCAGTTAATCTCTGCTACCAGCTACCGTCCATACACAGCTCAACTGTCTATCTGTCTGTCTGTCGGTCTGTGTCTCTGTCTGTCTGTCTGTCTGTCTGTCTGTCTGTCTGTCTGTCTGTCTGTCTGTGTCTCTGTCTGTCTGTCTGTCGGTGTCTCTGTCCGTCTATCTTTAAGAAGAACCTCCTGGGAACTAAATAAAAACATTAGTAGAACATTGAGCAGTAACGTCCTGTTGAAGCTGCCACATTCAGACCACACAAGGGCGCTGTTGAATAATGAGGCTGGTTCTCAACCTTGTTCCTTCAGTGATTCTTCTTTCAGTAAACAGACAACAAATTACATGTTCTCTTCAATAACAGAACATATGATAAACTGATAGCTGCAGGAAGTTATTTGATTTGGATGAATAATGTTTTCTTGATGTTTTTATACTGTTGTATTCTTCTGTTTTATTCTCTCAGCTCTCAGGTTGTTATAACTGCAGATGATGAGATTTAGCCCTAATGTTTTTATTTTAACATTTTTCTATACGCCTTAAAATCAAGAAGGCCTTGTGCCCCCCGCCCCCCATGAAGCTTTGGCGACCCCTGGTTGGGGTCCCGACCCCCAGGTTGGGATCCAGTGCTGTATAAGACAGATGTTCAGAAGCTTCACATTGCTCATTATTCTGTGTTTTGTTGCTTTCACAGACGTCTGATGGTCTTTATTTTCAGAGTGAATAAATTCTGAAATGAAAAGTAAAAGCTGGTTGAAGTGATCAGTGGCTGCTGACTTCTTCCTGCACTGATAAGGAAAACATTATGTGCGACTGCATCCTTCTTTCGTGCCTGAAGAATGCAGCTGGGCTCCGGATCCTCTCCGCGCTGTATTGTCTCAGGCACTTCCTGTTTCCTGTCTGCACGCCTCTGATTGTTGTTTGGGCAGCGAGGAGGAAACTCCACCGCTGCTGTCCAGCTTCTTAGTGCTCACAGAGGACAGGACGCCGTGTTCACTGCAGACGACTTCCTCACCGCTCACACTGCTGCTGGACACTCCTGAGTCCTCTAAAGTCCTGATCCTACTGCTGCTGGACACTCCTGAGTCCTCTAAAGTCCTGATCCTGTGATCTATAAAGGACATTCAGTCACTAACTGTTGTTTTATAAGAGAAACCTTTGATGTCACTTCCTGTCAGTTTCATTCACAATAATTCAACGTTTCTCCTCCATATTCTGTTCAGTTCATTTACTGGTTACAGAACAGACTCCTGTAACATCCTGTTCACTTCTGACGGTTGGCTTTTATTTTGGTAAACTAACCGTTCCTTTCGGTTCCCGCCACTGATTATCCACACCTGAGCTCACTCACCTGTGTCTGCTCGTTTATAGAGCCAACCCCTGTTTCCACCTCTCCACCTTGTTTTTGGTTGTTGGACTATGATTTGTTCCCTGGTTTGTTCCCTGATTGTTGAACTATGATTTGTTCCCTGATTGTTGGACTTTGATTTTTCCCTGGTTGTTGAACTATTATTTGTTCCCTGGTTTGTTCCCTTGTTGTTGAACTATTATTTGTTCCCTGGTGGTTGGACTATGATTTGTTCCCTGGCTGTTGGACTTTGATTGGTTCCCTGGTTGTTTGACTATGATTTGTTCCCTGGTTGTTGGACTATGATTTGTTCCATGGCTGTTGGACTTTTATTTTTTTCCCTGGTTGTTGGACTTTGATTTGTTCCCTGGTTTGTTCCCTGGTTGTTGGACTTTGATTTGTTCCCTGGTTGTTGGACTTCGATTTGTTCCCTGGTTGTTGGACTATGATTTGTTCCCTCGTTGTTGGACTATGATTTGTTCCCTGGCTGTTGGACTTTGATTTGTTCCCTGGTTGTTGGACTTTGATTTGTTCCCTGGTTTGTTCCCTGGTTGTTGGACTTTGATTTGTTCCCTGGTTGTTGGACTTTGATTTGTTCCCTGGCTGTTGGACTTTGATTTGTTCCCTGGTTGTTGGACTTTGATTTGTTCTCTGGTTGTTGGACTTTGATTTGTTCCCTGGCTGTTGGACTTTGATTTGTTCCCTGGTTGTTGGACTTTGATTTGTTCTCTGGTTGTTGGACTTTGATTTGTTCCCTGGTTGTTGGACTTTGATTTGTTCCCTGGTTGTTGGGATCTGTCTGTCCTAGGTTTCTGCCTTTTAACAGGCAGTTTTTCCTTGCCCTTGTCTCCAAGGTCTTGCTCATGGTGGTACTGTTGGGTCTCTGTAATTAATGTTAAAGAGTTCGGTCTAGACCTGCTCTATTTGAAAAGTGTCCTCAGATAACTTCTGTTATGAATTGGCGCTATACAAATAAAATTGAATTGAATTGAATTGAATCTGTTTGCCTTTACTGGACTGATCAGACTGATGTTTGGGTGCCTGGCTCTGCAGTGAAATCTTTCTCTTCCTCCATACAAACATATGCACTCTTTTAATGTCATCTTCCTCATCTTCATCTCTCAGTGAAACTCTTTCATTGTGGAAATGTAAAGTGTGTCTCTGGCTGGATGTTTCAGCTGAAGGAAGAAAGCTGACTGAAATCCGACTGATGGATTAGATGGAGATGAATCGGTGTCTGCTGAGGATTACAGAGATTACAATCTGCTGCTGGCTGGAATTAAAGGAAATAAACTAGTTGGCATCAAACGTAGTGACCCACTGATTTTATTTAAACCACCATGGAGGACTTATATAGTCCACATAGAGAGCTGAACCGGGGTCAGTTACCTAATGAGGACAGAGGAACATAACCTTCAAAATAAATGTTTACATTAACAGTAAAACCTGAATATTAAACTGCTTCAGTAACTCAAATATATAAAATATTAAACATACTGTTTGTTGTTTAACAAAGAAAACCAAAGAAAGGAACAATGAGATATCTTTAGCTAAAAATAATTAAATTAAACATATTTATTTACATTAATTCACATAAAGAAAATAATTATTTTTTATTCATATAATGATTATTGATTCAATATAAACACATTCATATGTTTAATGCTGTAATTAATATATTCATATATTATTAATTCACATAGACAAAATTATTGTTATATTCAAATGTTAAATATGTTTTTTTCATGTTATGTCGTATTTAATAATCATTGTTGATTTGACTTATACTTAATATACACAGCAATGTGGATTTAGTTTTGGGAGACAGGCGGAAGTAGTAATGTCATCCTGTCTCCGCGCTTTTATTCTGAAATTTGCAGCCGGAAGCTGGGTGCAGTCGTAATTCTGTGTAACTTGACGTCAATGAGCGCAGAGTGGAGTTAGTCCTCCCAGAGAGATCCGCTCCGGACTCCACTGGTTCATCAGCCCTGCACAGACCAGCACGAAGACCTGAAACCGGACCGAATCAGACCAGAAACCAGACCGGATCAGAGGTGAGACACTTTAAATCTTTTGGTGTCAGAGTTGATGTGATTCTGTGAGTCCTGCAGGAAGCGGCTCGTCCTGCTGTCTGTCCTCCAGAGTCCTCCAGAGTCCCGGTTCTCTCTGTTTTCTTCTCTGGCATTGAGTTTTCTGTCTGGGAATGACGCACAGAGGACGTTTTGGCGCAAACTGGAGCAAAGACACATCTCTGATGAGTCAAAGTGAATTCATTATTCCTGGACTGTGAGGACTCTGAGGACTCTGAGGACCTGGTCCCGGTCTCTGGGCGCAGTGGTCCGCTCCCAGCAGGGTGGAGCTGGAAGAGAATCTCTGAATTTTATTTTGAAATGTGTATTTATTTGCTCTGACGTCATTGTTATCGATATAATATGATGTCATACATCATGATGTCATATGACGGTGGAGGAAGTAGTCAGAGTAGAAATACTCAGTTACTGTCCCTGCTGATAAGGATGAGGATGAGGATGATGAGGATGAAGATGAGGATGATGATGATCAGGATGATGATAAGGATGATGATGAGGATGAAGATGAGGATGATGATAAGGATGAGGATGAGGATGAGCATGATGATGCTGATGATGAGGATGATGATGATGAGGATGATGATGATAAGCATGAGGATGATGATGATGAAGATGAAGATGAGGATGAAGATGAGGATGATGATGAGGATGAGCATGAGGATGATGATGATAAGCATGAGGATGATGAGGATGAAGATGAGGATGAAGATGAGGATGATGATGAGGATGATGATGAGGATGAGCATGAGGATGATGATGATAAGCATGAGGATGATGAGGATGAAGATGAGGATGAAGATGAGGATGATGATGAGGATGATGATGAGGATGAAGATGATGAGAATGATGAGAATGATGATGATGATGATGAAGAGTTACAGTGTGACCTGTGAGGCGTTCACACACAAACATCCTGTAAAGAGGAAACGCAGCTTCCTGTTTCAGCTGAAGCTTCAGAATAAAACGTCACTGAAAATTCTTCTGAATGTATTTATACACAGCAGGTACTTTATAGTTACTGTGGTAATATAGTTACTGTTACTGTTGTTTTATAGTTACTGTTACTGTTGTATTTTAGTTACTGTGGTATTATAGTTACATTGACTGTTGTATTATAGTTACTGTGGTATTATAGTTACTGTGGTATTATAGTTACTGTTACTGTTGTATTATAGTTACTGTGGTATTATAGTTACTGTGGTATTATAGTTACTGTTACTGTTGTATTATAGTTACTGTGGTAATATAGTTACTGTTACTGTGGTATTATAGTTACATTGACTGTTGTATTATAGTTACTGTGGTATTCTAGTTACTGTGGTATTATAGTTACTGTTACTGTTGTATTATAGTTACTGTTACTGTTGTATTTTAGTTACTGTGGTATTATAGTTACATTGACTGTTGTATTATAGTTACTGTGGTAATATAGTTACTGTTACTGTTGTATTATAGTTACTGTTACTGTTGTATTTTAGTTACTGTGGTATTATAGTTACATTGACTGTTGTATTCTAGTTACTGTGGTATTCTAGTTACTGTGGTATTATAGTTACTGTTACTGTTGTATTATAGTTACTGTGGTATTATAGTTACTGTGGTAATATAGTTACTGTTACTGTGGTATTATAGTTACTGTTACTGTTGTATTATAGTTACAGTGGTATTATAGTTACAGTGGTATTATAGTTACTGTTACTGTGGTATTATAGTTACTGTTACTGTTGTATTATAGTTACAGTGGTATTATAGTTACTGTGGTATTATAGTTACTGTGGTTTTATAGTTACAGCGGTATTATAGTTACTGTGGTATTCTAGTTACTGTGGTATTATAGTTACTGTTACTGTGGTATTATAGTTACAGTGGTATTATAGTTACTGTGGTATTCTAGTTACTGTGGTATTATAGTTACTGTTACTGTGGTATTATAGTTACAGTGGTATTATAGTTACTGTGGTTTTATAGTTACAGTGGTATTATAGTTACTGTGGTTTTATAGTTACAGCGGTATTATAGTTACTGTGGAATTCTAGTTACTGTGGTATTATAGTTACATTGACTGTTGTATTCTAGTTACTGTGGTATTATAGTTACAGTGGTATTATAGTTACAGTGGTATTATAGTTACTGTGGTATTATAGTTACAGTGGTATTATAGTTACTGTGGTATTATAGTTACAGTGGTATTATAGTTACTGTTACTGTGGTAACAGGAAGTTGGACACACACGTCTTCCTCTTCAGAAACTCCCCGCTGTGATGTAATCCGAGGTTTCATCAGAACTTCAGTGACGTCATCATGATGTCATCACACTGTACCAGCTGATGAGTGACGAGGGTTGCAGCCTCAGACTGTCTGCACCAATCAGCAGTAACACTGTGGAACTGGTGGAGCTGGACTCTCTGACTGGACCCAGACCAACACACGGCTCTGCACTGGGAGTTCTGAGCCCTTTCTATCAGAACCAGCATTAACCCCCCCGCGTTGGTCTTATTTTCACATAATGAACGGATGTCTTTGGTGCATTCATGTGTTCATATGAAACTCTGGACTTAAACTTGCTGTTTGATTAGTCCTGCAGCAGGAAAACCCTCAGGACAGACATTGTGTCTTAGTGTGTCTCTGTGTGTGTCTCTGTGTGTCTCTGTGTGTCTCTGTGTCTCTGTGTGTCTCTGTGTCTCAGTGTGTCTCTGTGTCTCAGTGTGTCTCCGTTTCTCAGTGTCTCAGTGTGTCTCAGTGTGTCTCTGTGTGTCTCAGTGTGTCTCAGTGTGTCTCAGTGTGTCTCTATGTGTCTCTGTGTCTCAGTGTGTCTCAGTGTGTCTCAGTGTGTCTCTATGTGTCTCTGTGTCTCTGTGTGTCTCTGTGTCTCAGTGTGTCTCCGTTTCTCAGTGTCTCAGTGTGTCTCTGTGTGTCTCAGTGTGTCTCTATGTGTCTCTGTGTCTCTATGTGTCTGTGTGTCTCTGTGTGTCTGTGTGTCTCCGTTTCTCAGTGTCTCTGTGTCTCTATGTGTCTGTGTGTCTCTGTGTGTCTCTGTGTGTCTGTGTGTCTCTGTGTGTCTCAGTGTGTCTCTGTGTGTCTCTCTGTGTGTCTGTGTGTCTCTGTGTGTCTCCGTTTCTCAGTCTCTCTGTGTGTCTCTATGTGTCTCTATGTGTCTCTGTGTCTCTATGTGTCTGTGTCTCAGTGTGTCTCTGTGTGTCTATGTGTCAAATTCAATTCAAATTCAAAATGGGCTTTATTGGCATAAAAGTTTTTTCAAAACAATATTGCCAAAGCAAAGTATTCAAATACAATATAATACACAAGTGTGTGTCTCTGTGTGTCTCAGTGTGTGTCTCAGTGTGTCTCAGTGTGTCTCAGTGTGTGTCTCAGTGTGTGTCTCTGTCTCTGTGTGTCTCTATGTGTCTCAGTGTGTGTCTCAGTGTGTCTCTGTGTGTGTCTCTGTGTGTGTCTCAGTGTGTCTCAGTGTGTCTCTGTGTGTGTCTCAGTGTGTCTCTGTGTGTCTCTGTGTCTCTGTGTCTCAGTGTGTGTCTCTGTGTGTCTCTCTGTGTGTCTCTGTGTGTCTCTGTGTGTCTCTATGTGTCTCAGTGTGTGTCTCAGTGTGTGTCTCAGTGTGTCTCTGTGTGTCTCTGTGTGTGTCTCTGTGTGTCTCTGTGTGTGTCTCAGTGTGTCTCAGTGTGTCTCAGTGTGTGTCTCAGTGTGTGTCTCTGTCTCTGTGTGTCTCTGTGTGTCTCAGTGTGTGTCTCAGTGTGTCTCTGTGTGTGTCTCTGTGTGTGTCTCAGTGTGTCTCAGTGTGTCTCTGTGTGTCTCTGTGTCTCTGTGTCTCAGTGTGTGTCTCTGTGTGTCTCTCTGTGTGTCTCTGTGTGTCTCTGTGTGTCTCTATGTGTCTCAGTGTGTGTCTCAGTGTGTGTCTCAGTGTGTCTCTGTGTGTGTCTCTGTGTGTCTCAGTGTGTCTCTGTGTCTGAGTGTGTCTCTGTGTCTGAGTGTGTCTTTGTGTCTCAGTGTGTCTCTGTGTGTGTCTCTGTGTGTCTCAGTGTTTCTCAGTGTCTCTGTGTCTCAGTGTGTCTCTGTGTGTGTCTCTGTGTGTCTCAGTGTGTCTCAGTGTCTCTGTGTCTCTGTGTGTCTCTGTGTGTGTCTCAGTGTGTCTCTGTGTGTGTCTCTGTGTGTCTCTCTGTGTGTCTCTGTGTGTCTCCTCTGTGTCTCAGTGTGTCTCAGTGTGTCTCAGTGTGTCTCTGTGTGTGGTTCCAGTCACAGCTCTGGAACAATCAGCCCTCTGTTTGTCACAATACAGACTCACTGTTATTGTACTGCTTGCCCGCCCACCCCCTCTCTCTCTCTCTCTCTCTCTCTCTCTCTCGCTCTCCCTCTCTCTCCCTCCCTCTCTCTCTCTCCCTCTCTCTCTCTCTCTCTCTCTCTCTCTCTCTCTGTGGAGGTGAAGAATGAAGGTCACTCTTCCTCCCGCTCTTCCTCTCGCTGTGGTTGTTCTCTCACACAGAGCTTTTTTTAGCGCGTTAACTTTGATTGACAGGTCTGTCGTCCTATAACGTCCGTCCATGCTGGGACTTCCTGTTTGTGATGACGTGATGAAGATGAGGAAGATGTTTGTTGGCAGAGACAGTTCACACTCTAACTCTCATGTCTGTTAGCTTAGCATAAAGACTGGAAGCAGGGGGAAACAGCTAGCCTCTGCTCAAAGCTCAGAAATACACATTCCAACATCTCAAAGAGTTTCCTTCAATCAGTGTGAGAGTCACAGCACATACATTAGCCTAGCATATAGATTAGCCTAGCATATACATTAGCCTAGCACATACATTAGCCTAGCATATAGATTAGCCTAGCACATACATTAGCCTAGCATAAGATACCAGCAAACATTAGCAATATACATTAGCCAGCACATACATTAGCCTAGCATATAGATTAGCCTAGCACATACATTAGCCTAGCACATACATTAGCCTAGCATATAGATTAGCCTAGCACATACATTAGCCTAGCATATAGATTAGCCTAGCATATAGATTAGCCTAGCATATAGATTAGCCTAGCACATACATTAGCCTAGCATATAGATTAGCCTAGCACATACATTAGCCTAGCATATAGATTAGCCTAGCATATAGATTAGCCTAGCATATAGATTAGCCTAGCACATACATTAGCCTAGCATATAGATTAGCCTAGCACATACATTAGCCTAGCATATAGATTAGCCTAGCACATATAGCATATCTGAGTACAGGAAGTTGACCGAGGTTTGCTCAACTGTTATTGGAGCATAGAGAAAAAGGGGGCGGGGCTTAGGAAAGTCTCCAGGTGTTTGCTGTTTGTGTTCTCTGATAATAAAGCTCACATAAAGCATGAAGACATTAGCAGAGGTCAGGTTGGCGCTCAGCGTGTGAACGTGTCACCGAACAGAGAACAGCGACGGCGTGAAGCTGATGTGAAAGTAAAATCACAGTTCTCACATCTGTATTTGAGCTCAGCGCTGACGTCTGAGAGGCTACGAGGTTCTGAGATTCTGGAGCAAGGCACTGACACTGCAGAGGTCGAGGGTTCAACTCCTACTGCAGCACACAGAGAGGAGGAGGAGGAGGAGGAGGGAGAGCAGAGAGGAAGGACAGACAGAGGAAAGGGTGTGTTTGGGGAGAAGGAGAGAGGCAGTTTTCTGAATGAGCACACTGTTCATCTCTCTACAAACATAGTACTGGAGGACATGGTCCATAATAATCCTCTTATTATTATCATCATCAACAACATTATTATTATTATTATTATTATTACTATTATTATTATTATTACCATTATCATCAACATCATCATCAACATTATTATTATTATTATTATTATTATTATTACTATTATGATTGTTATTATTATTATTATTATTTTTATAACATTATTTTATTATTATTATTAGATTGTTATTATTATTATTTTCCATCATCATCAACATTATTATTATTATTATTATTATTATCTATTAATTATTAATTATTATCATTATCATACTTAACATTTTTTATTATTATTATGATTGTATATATATAACCATCATCATCAACATTATTATTATTATTATTATTATTATTATTATTATTATATACTATTATTATTATTATTACCATTATCATCAACATCATCATCAACATTATTATTATTATTATTATTATTATTATTACTATTATGATTGTTATTATTATTATTATTATTATCATCATCATCAACATTATTATTATTATTATTATTATGATTGTTATTATTATTATTATTACCATCATCATCAACATTATTATTATTATTATTATTATTATTATTATTATTACTATTATGATTATTATTATTATTATTACCATTATCATCAACATCATCATCAACATTATTATTATTATTATTATTATTATTACTATTATGATTGTTATTATTATTATTATTATTACCATTATCATCAACATTATTATTATTATATAATACTAAAATTACAAAAATATCCTGTGAATTTTCCTGTTTAATGTAAAATCACATGAAAAATCTGTAACTGTAAATAATCATAAAATTACTGTTTATTTAAAGAAAGTTTCCTTTTTTCACATAAAAAGATTAAAATACATTTTGCAAATCTAAATGATATTACTCATTATTTAATTGATTAAACTGTTTACACATTTCTAAAATTGTGTAAAATTATAGTTAATATAAAAGTACCAGTAAAAAAGTATTAGTTGAGTAACTTTAATGTATTAGTTAGTTAACTGACAGATATGTTGTATAACGATGGAAGTTGAATAAATGTTGTTTATCAGTGTATAAGGTAAACTGTCCAAATACAGTTGTTATCAGTGTAAACAGCAATAATTACTGTAATCTCACAGATAATGACTTTTATTACACTTCTATAACTTTTAACATTCACATTCAAATAATAACAATCCAATAATAACAGCACTCTGCTGGAAATGTAAGTCTGATTATTGTATTATAGCAGAGTTCACCTGGATTTATTGATCATTGTTTACACTGTAAATATCTTTAATGGTTCCATAACATTTAGTGTGACTTTGATTGATGTAATCAATCAGTCTGATTGGAGAGAGGAAGTGTGTGTGTGTGTGTGTGTGTGTGTGTGTGTGTGTGTGTGTGTGTGTGTGTGTGTGTGTGTGTGTGTGTGTGTGTGTGTGTGTGTGTTTTTCCTGTGTTTCTGCTGCTGGTAACGACAGCAGAAACACAGATAAGAGGCGGAGGTCTGTAGAGTCCAGAAGAGGACACATCTGGTCCTGTTGTGTCTTTATTGTCCGGGTCTCTCTGAATGGATGTTGGAGGTGGAGGGTGGACAGGCTGCAGAGGTTAGAGGTCACGTCCTGTTGTCCGGGTCAGACACTGAGCAGAACCAGTTGTAGAAACTACAGGTCAGTTATCTTCTGTCGCCCTCGTGGATCATCAGAAAGACGAGCAGAGAACTGAAAAGCAGACGCAGTGTCAGATGTAAGAACATGAATTATTCTTCTATAGCAGCACATTGAACTCAATCAGTGGATATTCTCACTTCCCCTAAAGAGGAGACCGTCTGAGGACTGTGTCCTCGTGGGCTCATTGTAGAGCCCAGTGTTTCTGTAATAAACCTTGTTGCTGTGGCGGTACCGAAGGCACAGAGGATGACGGGTCAGAATACGCCTGTACGTCGTTCACTGCCACAGGAAGAAATGAAGCTGTTTCTCTGTCTGCTGTTTATCTGGGGTTCATCTGTATTTTCCATTTTTCCAAGGATGGTTCAATTATTGAGGACCATGAATTTAGTTCTGGTGGATTTGGCTGTTTCCATTTTAGCCCTGTTAACACTGTTAGCCCGGTTAGCGCTGACTACCAACAGCTGTACATTGTGGGCGGAGGTCAGGTTCTCTCCTGTTTTTTTCATCCTTTAGTTTTCTCTTTGTCGTTTTGTTCACTGGCATTAGAGGAAGGTGTGAGTGTAACCGTGGTAACTGAGGAGATGTGATGTGGGGACTTTGCGGTGGTTTTTTAGGCGATGTTGGCGGTGCGCTGCAGGACGTCAGACGCACACAGCTCCAGCTCTGTCTGCGGTGTTTGAGAGGTGGAAGTGAGCTGGAAGTGTCTGCATCCTCTGCTCTGTTTCTGCAGCAGCTTCCTGCTTCAAGCTGCTCTCAGCGCTCTTCCTCTCCCGGTACACTCCTCACTTTTCTCCTGCCACCTTTTTCTCTCTTTTACAGTTTGATGCCTTCAGTGAGGAAATCATATCGGGCCCAAAGTCCAACAGTTTATACAGTTTATACAGTTTATATAGTTTATATAGAGTTTATATACAGTTGATACAGTCTTTCTGGCATTCTCTGTGTCTTCAGTTAGATAAACCTCATCCTGGAACAGTTTTTGTTTGATTGTGATTCATTAACTCATCGTCGTCTTCTGACTAACAACAATGACTAAATCTCTTTTTCAGGCTCCACCTTGCAGCTGCCTGACTTCCTCTCACACTGTGTCAGACTGCAGGTTTTCTTCTTCACAAATATTGGATGAATGAAAAGAAAGAAGTGGAGGCTCTTCACTGTAAAGTCCAGTTCAGACCAGAATCAGTTTTAGAGCTTTGCAGGAAAAGTTGTGAACCTGTTGAACTCAAACTAACATCATTCTGACACATTTTTGGTTTTGGTTTGGTTTGTTATAAAGGTGAGAGAGTGAAGCTGATGGTTACTGGCTGATGAAAGAAAACATGTTGTTTTTACAGACCCCCAGAAATGTCACATCATTCAATTTAATTTTTTATTAAATATACATTTTGATAGTATTTGAATGTTTGCAGAGCAAAATGACTGAAAGGTCTGTCCCACGTTGTGTTGCAGTAGTTTGTGGTGTTCTCTGTCACTAAAGCTGTTACTGTACCAATGAACCTGGGAGTCTTCTGATGAGTCAAATGTTTAAATTCATTTTAGTAACTTTTAGAGGATTTGTCTGGTTTCAGTTTGTAGAGAGAGCGTGTCTCTGAGGAAGAGGAGTGTCTGAGGAAGAGGACTGTTTCTGCTGATCCACACGATCTGATCCCAGAACAGAAGCTGGTTTCATGTGAAGCAGCTGAAGTTCGGAGGAGGAAAAAGGTCGACAGGAGGAAGCTGCTGTGACTCACTTCCTCCTCCTTTGTCTTCACACTGGACGCTGCTGACCTTTGTGTGTGTGTGTGTGTGTGTGTGTGTGTGTGTGTGTGTGTGTGTGTGTGTGTGTGTGTGTGTGTCTGTGTGAGTGAGTGTGTGTGTGTGTGTGTGTGTGTGTGTTTGTGTCCTGCAGTTATTTTTATTTTATATTCAGTGTCAGTTCGGTGTTTTTAGTGTTTTTTTTATTCTCCTCTTTCTTTGTATCATTCACTCTTTTCCTCCAGCTGCTGTTCACAGCTGACTCAACAACAACGACAAGTTTCCCCCAGAAAATTATTGACCAGGTAGATCCACTGGTTTCTGGTTGTACAGTTGATCCACTGGTTTCTGGTTGTACAGTTGATCCACTGGTTTCTGATTGTACAGTTGATGTTGATCCACTGGTTTCTGGTTGTACAGTTGTTGTTGATCCACTGGTTTCTGGTCGTACAGTTGATCCACTGGTTTCTGGTCGTACAGTTGATCCACTGGTTTCTGGTCTTACAGTTGATGTTGATCCACTGGTTTCTGGTCTTACAGTTGATCCACTGGTTTCTGGTCTTACAGTTGATGTTGATCCACTGGTTTCTGGTTGTACAGTTGTTGTTGATCCACTGGTTTCTGGTCTTACAGTTGATCCACTGGTTTCTGGTCTTACAGTTGATCCACTGGTTTCTGGTCGTACAGTTAATGTTGGTCCACTGGTTTCTGGTTGTAAAGTTGATGTTGAGCCACTGGTTTCTGGACGTACAGTTGATCCACTGGTTTCTGGTTGTACAGTTGATGTTGATCCACTGGTTTCTGGTCGTACAGTTGATCCACTGGTTTCTGGTCTTACAGTTGATCCACTGGTTTCTGGATGTACAGTTAATGTTGGTCCACTGGTTTCTGGTTGTACAGTTGATGTTGAGCCACTGGTTTCTGGTCTTACAGTTGATCCACTGGTTTCTGGTTGTACAGTTGATGTTGATCCACTGGTTTCTGGTCGTACAGTTGATGTTGAGCCACTGGTTTCTGGTCGTATAGTTGATCCACTGGTTCCTGGTTGTACAGTTGATGTTGATCCACTGGTTTCTGGTCGTATAGTTGATGTTGATCCACTGGTTTCTGGTCGTATAGTTGATCCACTGGTTCCTGATCGTACAGTTGATGTTGATCCACTGGTTTCTGGTCGTATAGTTGATGTTGAGCCACTGGTTTCTGTCTGTGTTGTAGTTATAAAGTCAGACAGCTGATCTTTGTTGGTCATTTAAAACCCCACTCACACATCTGAGAGGCTTTAGTGTCATAATTATCTGTGTATGTGTGATTATTGATTATTAGCTCAGTTATTGATTAGCTGAACATTAAGAGTGCTCTCTGTGGGAGCACAAGGTAAACAACTTGAATTACTCTATTGTGATTATAGACCGTAAAGTTTGAATTCAAACAGCTCATTATAGCTCGAGTATTTCATTTCTCCCACGTACACACACACAAACACATCAGTGTGAGCTGTGTAACACATTCCAACCTTTTTCAGGAAATCTAGAGATACACAATCACTGCTACACAAGGTCAAACACACACAGACACACAGTTTTTTCTTTGAAAGCCCTCCACCCTTCAGCTTCAGGCAACAAGCCTCGCCTCAGCTGCAGGCACTCCCTGTATCCTGTGTGTGTGTGTGTGTGTGTGTGTGTGTGTGTGTGTGTGTGTGTGTGTGTGTGTGTGTGTGTGTGTGTGTGTGTGGAGAAAACCGCTGTTTGAAAGATGTGGAAAAAAAGACCAGCAGCAAATGTGTTCATGTGTTTCCTGAGAACGAGGACATGGGGGAGGAGGCGGGAGGCAGAGGGGTGTCCTTGCTCTGTAAATTGTCCTCTGATTAACATGTTAATACTCTCAGTGACCCAAATGTACCTAAATGAGCAGCCAGAGGGATTTGCAGATCCTGGGTTTTGCCTGTCAGGCAGCGTTCAGTCCCTAAAGGAATGCCTCGGCCTCTACTAGAGTTAAACTATTACTATATTATTTTTATTTACTATTAATATTCTCTTCAAAAGATGAAACATCTATCAAAGATAAGGCAGTGAAACAGTGAGCTTTTTAAAAAAAGATATTAGTTAGGGATGCAAGATATTATCAGCATCATCCATCATCCATGGGACAGTACATCTTTAAAATGAAAAATCGAATCGGCCTAAAATGATTGCTCAGTGTCTGTTATTCCTTCAACAAACTGAAATGATTAAATCAGTAATCTATAATCATTAAACAGTGTATAAACTCTAGAGATATGTTCTATATGGAGTTGATTCAATCAATAATCTAAAATTACTGAATAGTGAAATAGCCAGTGATTTCGCCCAGGCCCCCACAGACAGTGTGTCACTTTCTTTAGTCACCATAACCTTTAATTTAAAAGATGTAATATAAGATATGATCAAAGGTTACGTAACATTGTTATATATGATTACAGTGGGCAGTGTTAAGCGCCCTTGTGTTGGTTGATGTAAAGTTATATTAAAGTGAAAGTAAAGCAACACAAAGCAGATCGATTCTACAACGTCTGGCAGCTGTTTCTGAATGATGTTACCTGCAACATACACTGTTTCCTGTTATCTGCTGTTTGTTGTTTGAACTGAGCTGTTTGTTTGTTTGTTTATGTAACAAACATAGCTGCTTATGTTTGTGTTGTTATTATTTAAAATCCAAAGAATATATTGCTAGAAAAATGTAATAAAGTTCAGTGTCACATCAGAACTTTATTGAAACTGAACTTGATCAGAATAATCAGTTAATTATCTTTAATGACATTTTACTCTGTCTCCTGTTTGTTCGAAGTTTTCTAAAAATAATCCCGACTTGACACTCGTCTCTTGTCTCAGAAACACTCGACACAGTCTGTGTTAATGTGTTGTGGTGACTCCTCCTCCATTAAATGGCCGGTGGTGTTTCCAAACCGAGCCTCTCTGTTTCTGGGTCATCTGATCTCTGCAGCAGACTGTCCTGTCTGTACAGAGGTAAAAGGTCAGCCTGCTACAGACTCTGAGAAACAATCCCGCGGCTGTGCCCGCCTGCTGACGTCATGTTTTGTTCTGCCTCTGTGGTTTTAGTTGGCTGGGAGTGGGGTCATGACCTCTGGGGGGGGTCAAAGGTCTACACTGTTGCTGTGGTTACCTGCAGGAGCTGCTTTTTGTTTTATTTTTCATCATAGAAACACAGAACTATAATTAAACTCTCTCTAAAAACTACAATACCCATGAGCCATCCAGGGGGTGTCCAGAGAGAAGGATCACACGGGTCCTGCGGGACCATATTCAAATCTTGTGGGAGTTCGCGGTTGTGACTTTGCTGCGGTCACTGGATTTATCTTGCAGCCATCAGGAGGATGAAGATGAGTTAGCAAATAAAGTTGAGAGGAAGATTAAAGCCGGTTTCATTTGGATTTTTCTCAGTTGTTACTGACACAGTAAAAGTCACAGTTAGTCATTGGTGATTGATTGGTCAGAATGCTTGGGGGAGGGGGAGTAAACACACACATAGCGCGTAGCATGGACACGCCCCGGGAGCCATCCAAGCAATTGTATTCTGCATTAGAGTCCGCTGCGGAGGAATGTTTGATCAGTGCTGAGTCAATGATTGTATCTTCACCTCGATCAATCGCAGTCTTTGATTTTGACTTTTTTTTAAAGGTTCAGCATTTACCAGAATCACTTTGATACCAAAAATATAAATTATTTTCAGATGCTCAACAAACACACAAGGGCATGAGGTGAAGTCCAGTCTGTTGAGGGGTACTGGTACCCAGGTATCCTTCCAATTCAATTCAATTCAATTTTATTTGTATAGCGCCAATTCATAATAGAAGTTATCTCGGGACACTTTTCAAATGGAGCGGGTCTAGACCGAACTCCTTATAACATTTACAGAGACCCAACAGTACCACCATGAGCAAGCACTTGGCGACGGGGGCAAGGAAAAACTGCCTGTCAAGAGGCAGAAACCTAGGACAGACCCTTCGGCTCTAGGTGGGTGGTCGTCTGCCTCGACCAGTTGGGGTGTGAGAGAGAGAGAGAGAGAGAGAGAGAGAGAGAGAACAATAGTAGCAAAAACTACACTAATAGTGTCCTGGGTATTGTGCATGATGGACCACTGTTCCTGGTTCCTTTGGCACTTATATGGAAGTGAACCCTCATGGACATTATCAGTTCCACCTGTGGTTTTCCTGCTGTGCTGAGTCAAACAGTGTGAACGCAGACGGACAGATACTGCAGAGAAAACTCTGTTGAGTTGGTTGGATTCAGACTTATGTGTTTTTGTTCTAACGCTTGTTTTTGGTTCTTCTGTCCTCCAGATGGACGGCTGTTGTCTGTCCCTGCTGTAGGTCAGTGATGGCCGTGGTGTTTCCTGAATGTGGAGGAGACCAAGTCAGATCCAGACTCTATGTTGGTCGCCATGGCTTCACTGGATGGAAACACGCCGGTTGATACATTTCTGGCAACGATCCATCTGGAGAGGTCAGAGGCTGGGACACAAGAGTGTCTTCATACAACTTAAACTGTACACTATGGAGATTTTTTAATTCAGGACTAAACATTAGAACAGCCTGGCTTGAGTCAACAATAACCACCAAAGTACTAACACTTACCACTACTTAGTTTACACCAAAGTAACATTGTCACAGCAAAAACAATCATCAACAACATCTTCCAACCTCCTGAACTGTTTCAGTCTAATGAAATTGTTTCCCTACAGGTACCTGGACACCTTCCGTCGAGGCGGTCTCCTATTGGCTAGAGACTTCACACACCTGGATCATGATGCCTTGGTGAGCCTGGGTATAACAGCTACAGGACACAGGAAGCGAATCCTACGATTGGTCAGTCACATTCAGAGGACGGAGGCTCAAAGAGCCAATCAGAAAGCTGATCTTCCACGTGACCGCTGTCAATCTGTGACAAACTTTTCTTCATCAGAGCGAGGCCACAGCGCCGCATCACTCAGACAGGTGACAGGACCTCCTAACTTTGAGGTGTTCAGGAACAGCTCAGCTCCGAACCTTGCCGCCATGCTGACCAACTCTGACAACAGCAGGCCGGTGGTGAAGCCAGTTCCAAAACCTAGAACCGTCTTCAATCGGCGCCGGACAGCACCCATCCACTTCTGTCCAACACCAGACCCTGCACCGCCTTTACCCCGGAGGCTTTCCCAGGAGTCCATCTGTTTTACTGTATTAGAGGGTTTGACCTCAGGGGACATGCCCACACCTAATGACAGGTTGACCTCTGACCTCACTGACAAGTCTCTCAGCCGAAGGTCGAGCCAGGCAGAGAGGAGGAGGCCGAGTCGTAGCTTGTCTATGTCAGACGCTGGAGGGACGTTACCTCCTGTTCCCCCAAGGCTGAAACGTGGGATCCCCCCCGCCATGTTCCAGGGGTCCCCACCCTCTTCTTCCTCTTCTTCACCTGTGCGGACAGAACAGAACCAGACATCTCCTTTAACTTCCAGTCCCGGTAGTCTTGACGACAGCAGGCTCTCTGGATCCCCACTGTCCAGTTCACCCAGAGGTGGTGGGATGGAGATGGTCTCCAACGAAATCTACTGGGGAACTTTACCCGGTTCTACTGCCCCCATTGGAGGGAGGAGTTACTGCAGCCAGCAGTCCGCTCCTCCGACTCCACCCAGACAAACACCAGACAGGAACCCCGAGAGGAATAGGTAGGTCACTCTGCTGGACCAGGATGCCCTCTTCTTCTGGAGAATCGGCGCCACCTCTTGCTTATCTCATTAACCAACTCCTAATAATCACATAACAGTTGTGGATGGAAACAAGCATTCATTCACATTTCCTTTTTCCAATTCCCATTGCGGCACATTTTAATGCAAACTAAGTGACTGATGTTTATTTGTTGTTTGTCTCTGTATGTGTGTTTTCAGTGGCAGCACTTTAAGCAACAACTCTTCAGGATCAGCCAGAGGTGAGAACAGACATGACTCTGACTACTTGACATAAAATATAACATTTGATGTCTGCAGTACCTGAAATGTGCCGGTATTCACTGGTACTGGCACCGATTTTTATTCAGCAGTTCCCTTACTTCTTTTTTCATACCGCCACCTCCTGGTCAGTCTAGGTATGTACACCATAACGCCCACATAACGTTTTTAGGGTTAGAAAAAATGGATTAGGGCGCTGGCACCTTTGTGGTCCAAAGCTGTACATTTGTTATGATTACATTACTCATGATCAAAAATTAGTGAGTTGACAAGTTTGTAACAACATCAACCAAAGTCAACATCATGACACCGGCGCTGCTCTCTGTCCCAGACCAAGAACACTAGTACAGAGGAACAATTGACCCTGCTACAGTCAGTAGAAGATCAGAATGTTTGGTTGGTTTAACAGGCAGATCAGGGTCCCACCGGTTGATTACATTACCATCGATGCCACAGCACCCAATTAACTCAATGGTTTCTGTTCAACAGCTTCAACAGACGACCCTGAGGAGGAGATCAGCCCGTACTGTGAAACAGTTTTCCAAACCAGAAGAAATCCACTTACCTTTGAGGTGAGACAGCAGCACACAGGCACAACTGCATCCCCACTTTCTTTCTTCTTTCCCACCTAACAAAGACACTGGTGAAACTCTGGAGCGAGATCAGCTCCTAAATAGTCACAAATCTGCCAGAGGTGGTTTAATTTCTAATCCAGTCTGTGATGATAAAAATGTGCTCATTTGATATTTTATCCTGCAGAGTGAAAGGAGCAGACTGGAGGAAAGAGAGATGAGGAGGGTGGAGGAGAAACATGCAGAGGATCATGGGTACGACACCAGCAACTCAGTAACTTTTATTATTTAGCTGTGACCAAATACAAAACACTGTATAAACCAGTGGTTCCTTTTTCCTTAAAGAAGCATTTCACCCGTGAAAACATTAATATTTATTGAAAGTGGGTTATATATGTAGTCAAAATGTAACATAAATTTCGAATTTGGTGCCTATTTGACCGAGAAAAGTCAGAAAGTGACTTTAGGGCGCATTTGTATGGAAGACAACAACTCCCACAATGCACAGCTCCGCAAGCCACTCCCACTAACACTACCAAGGACTACAACAATGTGAATGTGAACCATTTATTTACAGAAATATATCAGCAACAACAAAAAATAAATATGTTAACAATGACAGTTATAGTTCCTCCTGAGCGTCCTCAACTTCTTGGTGCCCGCAGTACTGGCCATCTGGAGCTGGATATTTCTGTCGGATTGCCTGCACCACATAAGGCGGCTGTGGTTCAGAGGTAGAGCGGGTCGTTCCTCAATCGGAAGGTTGTGGGTTTGATCCCCACATGTCGAAGTATCCTTGAGCAAGATACTGAACCCCAAATTGCTCCCGATGCCGTGCATCGGTGTGTGAATGTGTATGAATGTGTTAGTTTCTGTTTGATGGCTTTGCCATCACTGTATGAATGTGTGTGAAACATGCAGAGGGTTGAATGTGGGGTGAATGTGACACGTAGTGTAAAAGTGCTTTGAGTGGTCGGAAGACTAGAAAGGCGCTATACAAGTACAGGTCCATTTACCATAAGCAGGTAAAACGACACGATGGCCTCGACCCAATCTCTCGCCTTTCAGGAAGTTGAGAATGTTAGGCAATATTGTCTACAAGACATTAAGTTAGTTCTTTGTGTTTAGCGTCTCACAGTAGTTAGCAATATATATAGTTAGCAATGCGACTGCAAGCTGTTTGTGCAGTAAAGAAGCTAGTTCAGTTTGCTGATGTTACGTATTAACCGGGAATAACTTTGTGATAATGCTTGAACAAACTGTGTACATACGTGCCACGTTGTTATAAGAAAGAAAATAGAAACACTCACTTTATAGTCAGATGTCCGTGTGTCCGTAGGCGCATAGTGAGAGCACAGGCACCAGCAGTCCGCCCCAGCTCGAGCCTGTTCGGGCTCCTCGTCCGCGACAGGCAGGTCCTCTGCCTCGGCTGCAGAAGCCTCAGCCGCCTCCTGTTCAGCCTCAGCCGCCTCCTGTTCAGCCTCAGCTGCTCTTCGCTATATTGCGGCTCATAAAGATAGCAACGAACATCACACTTTCGAAATCCTCTTCTTCCATATCAGATTGATTACCATCCGCCATAGTCGTAACGTCTGGCTCGACAGCGCCTTAGCTTCCAAACAAGATGGCAGTTATATTTTTTAGTTTCTGCAAGTGAAGTCCCACCCACTAATCTGTAATAGGTCTGTAGTGTGAGTGAAAAAAAAAATAGGAAGTAGTGTTTGTAGTCTCACCCCCCCTACAGAGATATGAGACTTCCTGCTTCCAATGATGCAAAATGACATGATACATCATTGGAAGCAGGAACTGCAACACTGAAATCCGTATTTCTCCCCTCTCAGGGAAAATGAGGGGATGATGCACGACCATTCAAAAATATGACTGGGTTTCTAATGATACAAAACTTAATGCAAATGGGTGAAGTGTCCCTTTAAGGGGTCCATTTTCTATAATCGAGTAAACTGACTATATTTTCGGTGTATTTCATATTCTATTGATCAATAAAAATAACAGCAGAGAACAGCTGATAAACTGAACAATGAACCTAAACAGTGAACACAATAACTGTAGGAAGTTTGTGTTAAACCACAGATTTTGATGAATTTTGAGCAGATAATTTTCCATATATTTTTATACAATTCCCTGTATTCTATATTTTTTTTAAATCATTTTTAACAATCAGACTTAATATTCAGTGTTTAGTATTCAGTAATATTATTTCTTCTAATGCAGGATGAGACTGTTTATCAGACAGAGTGAAGGCTCTATCAATATAGACTGTATTCAGGTTTTCAACGTTTATATTAAATCATTATACATTTCTAAAATCTAAACTTTAAAAATAATTTTATTTACAGAAATGGCACAGAATTAACAAAATTAAATACAAATACAGGTCTACTGTGTATATTTTTAATGTTTTCTTACACCCCTGGCTTCCTTTAGAACATTTAAAAACTATTTTTTTCTGCTTAGTTTGAATTATCTGAAGCTGTAAATAATAAAGGCAGCCTGATTTACTGTGTATAAGACAGATGTATAAAACTGTATCATCTGCATATTGACTGACCTCTGGAGTGTCCAAAGGTTCTGTACTCGACCCACTTTTATTTTGTGGATCTTCTCTTTAGACTTCATACACTGCACTCTGTGTGTAATATTTTATCATATTGTGTCGAATACAGAAAGAACTACGTTAACACTGTGGTTCAAAGTCTGTTCTTGACCCCGGAAACAGCAGCTGAGAATCTGCACTGTCCACAGATTTCACAATAAAAGTGAGAAGTGATGTCATATTTCCCAGATTTTATAAATAAAGTTGTTATTGTACGTTCAGGTGTCAGAAGTTCTCCTGGACAAAGCGATTGTCTCAGGCTCTTCACTCCGGAGACTCTCAGGGTTACAGCACCGTCGGAGAACCTCCACCCCCCGTCCGCTGCCTCTCTCTGCCCCCCCACACCTTTCCTTCAGAGACCGACGAGGACCTGATCATCTCCCCCTACGCCAGCTACACCTCCCTGACCGAGAGAGCCCCGCCCATCATCAGTGGCTGGCTAGACAAGCTGTCTCCACAGGGGTGCGTTTGATTTACAAACACATTTTACCGAGCCAGGATTTTATGTGGCTAGTGTTCATTTAGTTTAGAGTATGAAAATAGTTTGAGGAGTTTCCAGTTGTCCTTGAGCCAGTTCCTAAGATTCTTAAGAAGGTACCAGAAACTTTTAAAGCTTAGCATGTTAGCATGTAAAGTATCACTGTGTGTCTAAAGGTTGATAAACACTCTTATTTGTTCACATGGAGGAGGTTGTTGTGACCAATCACAGCAGTTGATCAGTGACTTCCTGTTCTGTCTTTATGTGTGTGTTGTGTGCGTCAGAGGTCAGAGGTCAGCACTTGCTCTTGTGCTGCGTCTCCTCCTCTCTGCTCCTCCCCGTGTCTCCTCCCTCCTGAGGAGCTGCCTTTGCCTCGTCACCTTCCTCTCCTCCTCTTCCTCCTCTTCTTCTTCATCCTCCACTCGGTGTGTGTTTGTGTTTTCTTCCTTCCTTTGTTCCTACCTCTCTTTAACATTAAAGTTCTTCTGCGGTTCTTTGGTCAGAGTTTTGGTGTTTTAATATGAGCAAATAAAAATCAATACAGATACATGAAATAAATATATAATAATATATAATATGACATAAGTATGTTCATCAAAATGAACCTCAGCTGCTGACGCTCTATATCTTAACATTTAAATTTTTTTTATAGCATATGGACCAAACTGCACTGGTCTGATTGAACACAGTTAACATGTATCTTTGTGTCTCTGTGTCATTGTATCTTTGCGTCTTTGTGTCCCTTTGTGCCTTTGTTATAAGTGATCACATCTCTTGATCTATTTTTTTTAGGAACTACGTTTTCCAGAAGCGCTATGTGAAGTTTGATGGCAAAAACCTGATGTACTTTGGCAGTGAGAAGGTACAAAGAATTGTAATTTTCTCATTATCTGAGTATCTGCTGCTTCAGTGAGGTTTCTCTCAACTGCAAAAGACATGAGAGAATTAACTAATTTAATTAGGTCAAAGTGAAAACCAACTTTAATGTGAAAAAAAGTTCTCTATTAAAATCTCTCTCTTTTCTCTGCCTGTAAAAAATATACATCCTCCTCTTCTACCACCCAATCTAACAGTGTGGGTGAGGACCACACCATCTCTATCTAATAAACCTCTTCACACATTCTCTGTTTCAGTCAGAAATATTCAGGCTGTCAGGTTTTACTTCCGTATGTTCTCAGGCTCTGTTCATTGGCAGACCCCGACACCAATATTGTCCCAAATCCTACCCAGCAGGACCGTTTGTTTTCTTCCACACAACCTATAAAATATAAATTGTGCTGGACAGAGAAAGTCCTGCTCTGAAGAACTTCACTTCTCTGATCTGGATTCTGTGTGGTTCTGAATCGTTTTCTCTCACCTGTTCTGTTTCAGGACGTCTATCCTAAAGGAGTGATCCCACTGGCTGCCATCCAGATGGCCCGCCTAGCCAAAGACAATAAATTTGAAATAGTGACAAGTCAGAGGATCTTTGTTTTCAGGGCTGATAATGAAGGTAAAAACACACACAAACCCCCACAGGTGTGATGCCATTTTAAGGCAGTTGTGATTTTGGTCTGTTTTGTCTGTTTGCGTCTGTAGATTTCTCCTAAAATTCCCATTAGATAATGCTTCATCTGCATATTTAAACAAAGAATTTCAGAAAATTTGTCGAATTGTCTCAATGTAAGTAATCAACTGAGGAGGTTTCATGCTAATATCAGTTAAATAAAATTATTTTACCCTATTCACCTGTAGTGTCTTAATTCGACACAGCGTTCCAAACTGGATTATCTCTTATTCCTCAATCAACAGAAATTCTCCCCCCGACAGCAGAGCATGTTTTTGGGTATAGGATCTAACTTTAGTCAGAATGCAGGCAGAGTTTCTGAGTTTCCAACTTCACTGAAACTGATCCTGACTGATCGATACGATGGATGATGGATAACGCTAACAGTTACTGACTAATTAACTGGCTACAAACTGGCTCCTCTTCCTCCGTTTCCTTCCTCTCCTGTCGCTGCCTGAACCCGCCGGGTCTTCATCCCCAGAGTCAGAGTCCTGGTCGGAGCCGCTGGACATCAGCCGGACTCCGTCGGTCCACCTCGCTCCAGTTCTATGGCTCAGTCGGGCCCCGCTCCGGTTCTGTGGCTCATTCGGGCCCTCTCTGGTTCTGTGGCTCATTCGGGCCCTCTCTGGTTCTGTGGCTCATTTGGGGCCTGCTCTGGTTCTGTGGCTCATTCGGGCCCTCTCTGGTTCTGTGGCTCATTCGGGCCCTCTCTGGTTCTGTGGCTCATTTGGGGCCTGCTCTGGTTCTGTGGCTCATTCGGGGCCTGCTCTGGTTCTGTGGCTCATTCAGGCCCTGCTCCCCGGCAGTAATCCCTGCTGGGTCCCTCTGCTCCTACACTAGTAGTTTTTAAACTCCCCCTGTCCTTCCAGCTCCCATTCAGGACCGCTAACTAGCTAACAGCGGTCATTCTAGATCTACGTTTGTCATGCGCGTCACTTCTGATTTAAAAACAACCAATAAATCAGAACTGGAATTAGGCTTTCAGTACAAGCGTCTGTCAGAAGAAAAGACAGGAAGTGAAGGAGCAGAGATGATGATGGTGATGTGATTGTGATGATGATGATGATGGTGATGGTGATGGTGATGATGAAGATGATGGTGATGGTGATGAAGATGATGGTGGTGATGGTGATGATGATGAAGATGATGGTGATGTGATGGTGATGATGGTGATGATGAAGATGATGGTGATGATGATGATGATGATGAGGATGAGGATGATGATGAGGATGATGATGAGGATGATCATGGTGTGTTTGCTCAGTTCTGAGGCGGCGGTGGGTCAGCACGCTGCAGGAACACGTCAGAGACCAGCTGGTGTTCGGTCGGCGGCGGTTCGGTCCCGGGTCTCACTGTCAGAAACACGGCGTCCTCGAACTGAAAGGAACCAAATCCAAAGTGTACGCCGCCATCAACACGGAGCAGATCTGGCTCTACAAGAGCGAACAGGTGACATTCCAAAAGGTTTTACTCAAAACAGTGAAAATAAATCAATTACATTAATTATTGATTTCCTCAAAGTGTTTCTAATAAAATGTCTTGTTCCATTTCAATATGCTGACACTCATTTAGGCAAAATTCTTTAAAAACGCTGCTCTTCATCTACTTCTCTTTTTACTTACTGTTATTTAAAATAACTGTGAACCCCTCCTTATGAAATAGATGAAATTGAAAATATTATATGATATATATTATTAGTCAATATATCAATTATATAAATTAAATCATTCCTATCCAATCAAGTTTAAAAGTAGAAAAGCTAATTATCGTTATTATCAGTTTATTTCAAAACTTAAGCGTTTGACTTCAAACTGAAAAGATTGTATTGTATGTGTGTGTATGTGTAATATCAAACCTTAATATAAATAAGATAAAGATGTTCTTTTATTGATCCCCCGTGGGAAAAAAGTCAGACACAGCAGGACTGGAGAATGTAGTGCAAAAAGTACAAAAAATAAAAATATTATAAAGATATAATAGAAAATATAAGACTATAATGAAAAATATATACACTATATGCAGTATGCAGTAGAATAATGTGTAAAATATTTGAAGCAACGTATTACCTAAACTGTACATGTGCAATTTGCAAGGTGTAGTTGTGCGTCGTAGGTTGGCGTTAAACCAAATACTTGGTAGGATTTTTGCAGTGTGTATTGATTTGGATTATCTCAACAAAAAGTGTAACTGAAAGCAAACAAAAGTGTTTTATGATCAGTTTGTTCTATATTTCAGTCAGAATTCAGCTGATCTGACATTTTCTTTGCAGACTGACTCAGATGCAGATGAGAGGGTTATGTTTTCATTCATCCTGGTTGAACTTCATTCTCTCTCTGCAGTGCTTTCGTAACGGGATCGGCATCACGCTGATCGAAGCTCGAGGAGCGACCATCAGAGACGGAAAAAACAAGAGCTTCGACCTCATCACTCCGTACAAAACCTTCAGGTATCCCTCCGCTGCAATTAACACTGTGCAGGACACGTTTACAAACTGCATTCATATTTTAGTTCCTGTAACAGAGTTCCTTTAAACATTTCTATGTGCAGAGGTGTGTTCAGCTAACAGCAGAGATGCTTCAGGCTTCAGGTACAATAACTGCAGGAAGTTTGTGGAAAACCAGAGATTTGGATGAATTTTGAGCAGATTATTTCCTGTGCATATTAATCAGATTTTTTTTTATTATTTTAGAAACTTTTTCTACAATCCTTGTTTGTATTATTTATTTTATTTTATTTTTAACAATCATACAGACTTAATAGGCTGCTCTTTTGACCAATTCAGTGTTTTATTCTCCCTGATTCCTCTTATTTTAATATGGATTGTATTCATGTCCTCAAAGTTTAGATATTAAATAATTAAAGTTATTTAAACTTTTAAATTAAGTAACACAAACTACATTTTAAAAGCTGACATTCCTTATTAAGTTCTTTTTACTTTTTTCACAATACAAATAAAAAGTTCACCATTAAATCTAAAGCTACTTCATTTTGGATGCAATTAGTTTCAACAACTTTAAAAATAACAGTTTCATTTAGTTTTCTTCACAGAAATAAACAAAATGCTGGCTGATGTGAATATTCTTTTAAGTTTTCTTAAACCCATTCAAATCAAGAAGGCCTCAGGACCCCCCAATGAATCCTGACCCCCAGGTTGGGGACCACGGCTGTAGATGAAAAAAAAAAAAAAAATGTTGGTGCTCTCAGCCAACCTCTGCCAGGCTGGTCCCAAAACCAGGTCACTGAATGATAAAAAGCTCCTTACAGCTAATTCCCTGCAGCTCTCGCAGCTCTGAGTCGCAGCGGAAACAAAGGAAGCAAAGTCAGTCTGCTGCTTTAATGTAAACACTGAAACTTTAAAAAGGGGGTTGTCTGTCTTTAAAATGCCGTTGCCATGGCGACCTTCCAACACGTCTCACCGCAGACCTCTGCTCCGCCTCTGCAGCTTCACAGCGGAGTCGGACCGGGAGAAACGGGACTGGATGGAGGCGCTGCAGGAGTCCATTGCGGAGACACTGTCGGATTACGAGGTGGCCGAGAAGATCTGGTCCAACCGGTCCAACAGGATGTGTGCCGACTGTAAGGCCCTGAACCCTGACTGGGCCTCCATCAACCTGTGTGTGGTCATCTGCAAGAACTGTGCAGGTACAGGTCTTTATTCTTTATTTTGAAATATTTTGGCTCAACAAAAACAATTATCGCGACAGTTTGCATAAATCTTTTTGAGTTATGGCAACTTACGAATGAAATTACGTTGAACATGTACAACATTGAGTTACAGGAATTAGCTTTTCCTCTACAATCAATAAGTACAGGAGAGGAGGAAGTCGACTAAGGTTTGACCTCAACTGTTATTGGAGGACAGAGCAAAAAGGGGCGGGACTTCGGAAGGGTCAGTTGAGGGAAATAAAGGCCAATGATAGGTCTCCCATTATGGTCTTACGACCATTCCTAGCTGATAAACCATTTGGTGTTGGAGCTGACTTTGTTCATCGTCATGTTGAAACAGGAAAAGACAAACACAAACTGCTGGAGACAGATCATTAAGATTTCTCTTCAATGAGGCCCAGATCAGCAGCAAAACACACAGTGGATCTTTAAAGTGTGTGTGCTGTTCATGCTCGGGTTCTCAGTTAACGCTGTTCAGACAACGTTCACTGTTTATGTAACTGCGAATTCCTGTGGAGACATGAACCACTGCAGGTGAAACTGTCACTGTGCTGGTTCAACTGCATTGTGTTGAGTGTGTGTGTGTGTGTGTGTGTGTGTTGTATCATCTGGCTGACATCATCCAGGTGAAGCCTGTCGTCAGTCTGGATGTTTTTGTCTCACCTGAAACTGAACTCTTCAAGTTTACATTCAAATTCACAGAAGGTTTCCATTTCAAGAACAAAAAGCCTTCCAGAGGAGAGAAACTCCACCAGCTGTTGACCTTATTCTGGGAACAAAGTACGGGTAGACTGTTTAATGGGTCTGCGGATTGATCGGGCTGATTATCTGGCATTTTGAGATAATCGCATTGGCCGATGTCTGCAGACACATCAGCTTGCAGCCTCAGTGTGTCTTAACGATGTCAGCGCTCCCCTCTGTGAGTTTTGCGGAGGTGGTGAAATGACAAGCAATGACAGCAAATCTGTTATCTTTGAATGACGTCTCTCCTCCTGCTCTCCCTTAAGTATGTTTTTTTCTGTTATATTAATTAATAAAAATTCCATCTTAAACAACATGCAACAGTTGAGCTGGACGGACTCACTGAAAATGAGCTGTCAATCACAAGGTAGGCCCGCCCTAAAGCATACCCTGCTTTATGGTCTATTTTACTCTAAATGGGACCATCAGTTACTAAATGAACATCATGCTGTATGGAAGAAGACTGAAACTAGAGAGTGAGACCATGAACTCATCAGGAAACTGTTGACTGAGCTCATCAATCAAGTGAGAAGTCGGATTATTCTCCATAAGACTGCATGCTATTGTTTTTATATTGCAGCCAATAGAGCTCCCCCTGCTGGCCGTTACATAGAATGCAGGTTTAACACACTTCCATGTTCACTTCACAGAACTGGAAGCTTGGTTCATTATATATACTGTCAGTGAGGTGAACAAGTTTAATCCAATGGTATCATTGAACCTGTTTCATGACCTGCTGTGAGGTCCAGTTTCCAAGAGTTTAAGGTCACTGATTACTTCAACTAGAGCTGTCTGATTTATGATTGGGATCTGATGTGATACGATTCACTGTGGGAATGCATCACAATGCAACCCCTTTCCCCTTTGTTCACCTGTATATGTGTGTGTGTGTGTGTGTGTGTGTGTGTGTGTGTGTGTGTGTGTGTGTGTGTGTGTGTTTGCAGGACAGCACAGAGGTCTGGGGACGATGGTCTCCAAGGTTCAGAGTCTGAAACTGGACACCAGCGTGTGGAGCAACGAGATCGTCCAGGTGAGACCAGAACCAGTCCATCCCCTGAACCACCTGAACCAGCAGTTCTCATTCAGAATTCATAGAACTGCAGTTACATATGTAACTCTACTCAGAGACGAGAGATCCAACCATTGAGTGGATACACCAGTCTTTGTTGTGGCCTAAAATATCAGATTTTACTGGAGCTTTTCTAAAAATTGCGATGCATGTTACGATATAAAATACTGTAGTTGCAATAATTCCTTTTGTATAATTTATGAAAAAACAAAGGCAACTTGTTCCAGTGAGCATAAAGTCTCCAGTATTTTGGTGACATATGGCTCAATGTTTTGCTGTGATGATCATAATAATGTGGAGTAAAACTCACAGGAAGCTACAATGATTGCTCAAATCTGCTGAAAAGACAAAATTACGAGGTCTTGCAGAATTTACAGGAATTAGTTGAATTTACCTTAATTGTTGCAACTTCCTGAAGGGACTCAAAGATGATGACGAATAACCTTACTGCTCCGAATGGTTTATTATATAGAACCATCTGTTTGGAAAAGGGCAGGTTGGATTGGATGAACCATCTGTTTATCACTGTCTATCACAGGCCAACTTCAACCATTCAGATCAAGGAAACATATAGCGTCAAACTCTAACTGGAAGCAGAGACACGTTGTCCATCTTCATATACAGTCGGAACTGATCTGTAGTCCTGTTTGTTTGTGTGCGTCAGCTGTTCATCATGCTGGGGAACGACCGGGCCAATGATTTCTGGGCTGCTTCGCTGTCTCCATCGGAAGATCTGGACTGTGACGCCTCACCTGAACAGAGGCGAGAGTTCATCACACAGAAGTACAGAGAGGGTCGATACCGGCTGAACCACCCTGCGTTCAACAGCCAGGAGGAGCTGCTCAAGGTCGGACTGGCGCTTTCTTCCTCCAATAACAAGAGAGCCTTAGACAGTGACTCATTTATTGCTTCCATGTGTAACTGTCATTTAACTGTTGTTAACAGCACCACCTACATAGAAACACATATAAACCTGTCCACAGGCAGCAGAGGAACATATGGAACCTTCAAAATCAAATTATTCTGTATTATTCAGTTTTCTGCTGCTACTAAAATAATACTTAAACTCACATTTTAAATCTGTTTTTCACTCATATCCAAAAACCCCGTGCCTGAAGGTGAAACCGTTTTCTACATGTGATAAACATGTAAAATGAATACTAATGAATCCCAGTAACACCAGTTCACCTCCAGTGGAGTCTTTCAGTTCTTTGAGCTGCAGACCTTTCTGTTCAGGTGAACATTTAATGTCACTGAGCAGCTCTCAGGGTTTCTCTGTTGCAGAAACAAAGTGAGTCTGTCAGAGCTTCAGTAGCTCCGAGGGTTTCAGTCTGCAGAGACATAAAAGCTGACCTGAGGTCAGAGAGCATCTTTCAATGGTTTGAGTGTGTTGAAGAATCAGTTCTTTAAATGATTTCTGAACAATAGTTAATCATTAGCTGAAAAAAACCGACTTTTGCTTTTAAACCGGCCCAATATTTGTATGGAAACTTTTCCCAGAGTGCTTTGGGGCATCAGCTGGACTGAAACACAGAGAAACAAAGATAAAAGCAGCTGGAGGCTCAGAGACAGACTGAACACATCCAACATGTCCGCTCCCTCTCTCTCTCTCTCTCTCTCTCTCTCTCTCTCTCTCTCTCTCTCTCTCTCTTCTCTGTCTCTCTAAAATCAGTTTTATTGGCAACAATATTGCCAAAGCTAGAAATAAATTACATAAGAACAATTTCATACATTTCATTAAATAAGTAAATAAATCAGTAAAAGTTGTTTGCGTGTGTTAATAAAAAGTAAAATGATAATAATAATAATAATGATAAAAAATGAAAGAAAGTTAGAAAATGAAAAGAATATATAAAAAATTTAAATAAATAAATAAAATAGTAAGCGTGTGTGTGTGTTGAAAAGTGTTTAATATATTAAAATTAAAATAAAATAGATGGATAAAACTGTAAACGTGTGTGTGTGTGAGAGAGAGAGAGAGACAGAGAGAGAGAGACAGAGACACAGACACAGACAACAATAGTAGCAACAACTACACTAATAGTGTCCTGGGTATTGTGCATGATGGACCACTGTTCCTGGTGTGTGTGTGTGTGTGTATATATATATATATTAAAATTAAATTAATTAATAAAAGATAAAAAAATGTATCCGTCTGAATTGTCCTCAGTTCGTGGCATGAGGAGACATATTTTGCTGCAATAATTTGACTTTTTGGCATTTCTCCCAGTAAATAGGGGAGTTTCTGTGTGTCTGGTATAAATTCGAATTCGGGGTATATTTGGGGTATAAGTGTTTTTCTCTTAAAGTTTTGAATTTAGGGCATGAGGTTAGAAAGTGCAGCTCTGTCTCTACCTGTCCTCTGTCACACTGGGAGCAGAGTCTCTCCTCTTCTGGTAGCCAGTTCTGTCTGTGACGATCCTTTTCTATGTACAGGCTGTGTTCACTCAGTCCGTACATTGTCAACATTTTTCTTAATTTAGGACATTTTATTGTGCTCAGGTAATTTGCCAGTTTGAATCCTCTTTTTAGGGTCAGATAACATTGTAATTTACTTTGTGTTTTGGTCGTTTCTTTCCAGTATTCAATATATTTTTCTTTTTGCTTGTTGATAATTTGGTTTGGTCTGATTGAGTTGGTGTCACTCTCTCTCTCTCTCTCTCTCTGTGTCTCTCTCTGTGTCTGTGTTAATGTCTCTCTCTCTCTCTCTCTCTCTCTCTCTCTCTCTCTCTCTCTCTCTCTCTCTCTCTGTGTCTCTCTCTGTGTCTGTGTTAATGTCTCTCTCTCTCTCTCTCTCTCTCTCTCTCTCTCTCTCTCTCTCTGTGTGTGTCTCTCTCTCATTAACAGGTCCTGTGCTCGGCGGTCTCTGAACAGACACTCCTGAAAACTGTCACTCAGATTTTCTTGGAGGCGGAGTCAGCTCGCCTTGCCAATGACTCCAACTGCTGCCAACAACATCATCACCTGCTGGATCACCCGTCTGCGTCAGGTCTGATCTCCAGTCTACTATGGTGTATATGTCACCCAGTATGCACCCATATCAACACTGTTTTCTTCTGGAATATAATGTAAAAAGGTCGTTTTTACAGTCCTCATGTTTAGCGTTTTCTAATTTATTTTATTTATTCTTTATTTTCTAGAATTGGTTGACAATGTATATTTTAAATTATTGAGCATGTAAAGGAATATTTAACTTAAATATTCACTAAATCAGCATTTCTCCTCTAAAGTCGCTATCGGTGTCACATCAGTCAGACTCTGTCTTTATTAATAATGATAATAATAATAATATAATACTGATATTTAATGATTTACAATAACGGATCTGAATGGTCAGAGTAAAAATTGACATTCTGGAGACAACAGTTATATTTCTGTGTTAAAGGTCAGCAGTGTCGGTGGAGGCTGACTCCAGGTCAGCTGTTATCAGCTCTGTTCCTGCAGGGAGGCTTTTATCTTGTTACAGTTTGCTTCAGTTAGCAGAGAAACTGACGCAGACTTTTATTCCACTAACTGACGGAGGCTGAAGTGGAGAGATGTCATATCTGTATGTTGTTTTGTGCAGCTGAAATATTCTTCTGTCCTCCCATCAGACCCCAGTGTGTACGATGAGATCATGCAGCCCGTCCTTCACTCAGGTTACCTCTATAAGTCCGGCTCCGTCCACAGAGGAACGCTGTCCAAGAAAACACGAGAAGGTGGGAGGAGGGGAAGGGAGGAGGGAGGGAGTCAGCTGGGTTTAAAGGAGGAATGTTTCTCTGAAGTAAAAGGATAATGAAACAACAAAGAGGCTTTTCAAACATTTCATTTGTACAGAACCAGATTAATAAACCACCAGGAACATTTGCAGTTAATTATTAGGAAACTAAAGCCTTGTTCACACATGTCTTTAATCTGGAGTCTTTGTGGTTTTCATCAGGGGTCACACACTACAAGATCTTTCAGAAGGAGTAATCCCAGACTCTGTCGTTTCATCAGGAGTCATTAATAACACCATTCCTAAAGATAAAGATATTTATTTATTTATTTATAAAGATAGATATTTATATAAACATCTGGCGTCTGCGAGGCATCAGCGAGTTCTCAGCAAGCCCTCAGATTGCATCTTTGAACAATTCACACATAGGCGATTTGCCTCTGGGGGCATTTGTTGGCGATCTGTAGTGTACACTCACCAGGAGGAACCTGAACATTAAGATCTAACTAGATGTCTCTTCTTGTTGTTAGACTTCCAGAAGTTCTGGTGTTCGGTGGATCAGTCTCTGCTCTTTTACGAGTCGGATCGATCAGCTGATCCCTGCATGCAGATCAGTGTTAAAGACATTGTGTGTTTGGGCGTCAGTCGGCCCGACACCTCCAACAACAACAACGGATTCATCGACAGGTACAGACACGTCATTTCCATGATGATGCTACATTTACGTTTGATGTGATTTCCGTTCATAAAGGTGAGATATATGTTTCACTTTTCTCCTTCTCTCAGGTTTCGTTACACCTTCGAGTTGTATTTGACTTCAGAGAAACTTTATCAGTTTGGTTTGGAGACGGCCGACATGCTGCACAGCTGGACCAGATCCATCGGGAAGGTATGAAACTCCAGTGCTGGAATCTTTCCCCCATATTAGTACGAGTCCCAGGAAGAAATGTTTGTGATTCACATCTGAAGATACAACCCAAAATCAGTCGTAATTGAGGCTGGCTTTACACGACAACGCTCCCGGGTGAAACCGACAAAATATTTTATCAGATGTGCCTTTTGTTTAGACGGCGACAGTGTTTTCGGGGCTTAAAAACGCAAAAAAATGGACCCACCCTCCAGAGTGGAAATCTTAAAAACGCTCCACTGTTGCGTTTCCGTCTAAAGGGTTAACAACACAAAAGTGTGCTCTGATCTGCTCACGCTGGATCTCGTCGCGTACGAGTTGACGTCACATCCATGTGCAGTACAGGCAAACAACAACAAACATTGCGACACATCTGATAAAATATTTTGTCGATTTCACCCGGGAGCGTTGTCGTGTAAAGCCAGCCTAAGGAGAGAAGTAGAAGGAAGTTTCAACGCATGCCCGCGCTCTTGGTGGTGTTGTGTGGCAGTGCTTCACAGTACCACCTAGCCACCTGGCATGCATACTACATCAAATTTCACACACTTTTGCGTCACCGTGTGCACACAGATTTCCCCCCAGAGACGCTTGTCTAAACGCGGAATAAAAAGTGGGAACGTAACGCCACTTTTGCGGTTTGTGTTCAGATCGTTGTCGTGTAAAGCCAGCCTGAATACTGTGTTTAAGACACATGGTGGGGTTTTATCAATGGCCACAAGGCCATCAATATTACCATACAGACCTCCGACCTGCATCTACAGCACTGACTTATGTCCTGTATCTACAGCATTAACCTCTGTCCTGTATGTGTCCTGTCGTCTGTAACATAGTATTATTTCCAGATAGACTGAATATTGAATATTGGTTTATATTATTTGACTTAACTAAAACATATGAAATAAAGTTAATATTCATAATATTATTATTGTTACTATATTAATAAAATAGACAGTAAAGACTTCTGACCTGTAGCTGTAGCTGTATCTGTCCTGTCTTCTGTAACTTAAATTATTGGTAGAATTGAATGAAATGTTACACACAGTGGGGCTTTATGTACAACTTTCCCAAATTAAGTTGCAATCCAATTGAGTATTGAAGAGTTGTGGACAGTTAAGTGCATTGGGCCATGCCTTCAAAGTTCTGTAACCAATTATAGACAAACAATAAGTGATACCCAAACACAAATTCTTTTTCGGCTTCAACTAAATATGCTATGCACTGATTTTTTTGGGGATGAATTCTGTGACAAAAGAAGCAAAAATCTAAATCCAAAATGGTGGAATGTTTTTAAGACACAAAGGGGTGTGACCCTTATTGGAAGAATTGGCATTATCCAAGGAACCCACTGTACAAAAATGTTTCTACTACTCGGTTTATGAGTTCAACTGGTCAAATTTATTTGCTTTGTGTGAAAAAAGTAGGCAGGACAGGAAACAGAGTGGGTTGGGTTATAAACTAGTGTGGCTATGTGATGGTTATATATTTTACTGTCACTGTGCTCACAGTCACTGCAGCTAATCAGCATCTCTCCTTCTGTTTCTCGGATTATTTCACCTGAAACAAGAATATAAACAAACTATATATCTCCTGAATGACAGGTTATTATTATTATTATTATATTATATTATTATTATAAAATAGTTAAAAAGTTTTAGAGGAAGTGCATGTCATAGGTAGTTCAACTTATTCTGCACTAACCATCCTGTCCGCCGCCATCAGGCTGCGACCCCCCTCAGCTGTCACTGCCTGCTGACTCGGGAGTTTGAGCGGGTCGGTCTGCTGCGCTACAGAGCCATGTTGGACGCTCAGCAGTGGAAGGAGGCTTACTTCGTCCTGCAGAAGTCCAACCTCTTCATCTGTCCCCGAAACGACGGAGCGGCTGAGGACATCATCAACCTGAACCGTCTGCAGGAACTCAGTCAGTCCTGGTTCTGGTTTGCAACCTATGTCTGACTGGTTTATTCTGTCCGGTTTAATTAAAGCAGTCTCTGTTTGTGTTAAAGGTATAGCCTCCGAAACTGAGAACCATGAGAAGAAAGATATCCTGGTTTTAGTAGAAAAAGGAAGGTGAGATGAAGAGTTTCTCTGCTGAACACAAAAATAATCTGGTCTTGGTTTTTATTTTCTACATCACTTGGTTTTGTCTCTCTGTCAGGACTCTCCACCTGCAGGGGATCGGCCGGACAGATTTCTCGTTGTGGTACTCGGACATCCAGCGAGCTGCCGGCGGTAAAGGAAACACTCTGCGGGAACAGCAGCTGAGCAGAAACGACATTCCCATCATTGTGGACAGCTGCATCGCCTTCATCACTCAGTATGGTGAGGAAGAGGGGTAAAAGGAGGTAGAAAGAGAAGTCCACAACTTTCAGCCTCTTTTGGCTCCTAGTTTTTTTCATCACTGCATTCTACCTGCTCAACTCAATGCCAAGCACTGATCTGATCCTTCACCACTTGTAACCATCAACATATAAATAACATCATACATACAGTTCGTCATGTTAATAAGATGAAATAAGTTCTTGCTTTCTCAGGTTTATGCACAATTTTTGGTTTCACAGTAAAAGCCTACCACTGCCTTCATGTGAAAATGCCTTTATTGTGAAGCACATGCAGGAAGTGGCATCAGTGTAATAAAGTAAAAAGTTTTATTCAAAAATGGAATATTCAGCACCACTAGATGTCGCACTAGAGCACCAGCATTTCAGACCAAAAGAAATGGCTGCTATGGCCCACCAGACTCCACTGACAAAACCAGTGATTTTGCCTTGCAGATAATCGTAAAATACACTTCAGACTGGACAGAAACAAAATAAAACTCACCAAAACAGTTTTATTCTTTCCATCAATCACCAACTCTGGTTTGGTGGAAATAAATCCTTAATTCACCGACGTAGATGATAAAAACAGTAGTTTCAGTCGGAGCAGACTGGCTATGGAAACAAACCATAGAGAGGCTGCAATACAACACAGGCAGAGGGAGTGAGACAAGAAGAGACACTGTATCTTTATATAGAGAATAGTTGTTTGCTTCTACTTTAATGTTTTAAATCCCAAATATATAACTTCTAAGTATCAGCACTGATACTGAGTCAACAGGTGAGTCCTGTATCTGATGTCTCATAAAACTTAACCAAAATCTGAGTGCAGCTTCATTAGAGCTCAGTGGGATCAGATATTTGTGTACCTGAGTGACATTCTGAGCATGCTCTGTAGGTCTGGGCCACGAGGGGATCTACAGGAAGAACGGGGCCAAATCCAGGATCAAACTCCTGATGGAAGAGTTTCGCAAAGATGCTCGAAACGTCAAACTGCGGATCGGAGACCACTTCATCGAGGATGTGACGGACGTCCTGAAGAGGTTCTTCAGAGAGGTGGACGACCCCATCTTCATGGCCGACCTTCACCCGCTGTGGCAGGGGGCCGCCAGTGAGTATATCTTCCTATAGTCGTTAAAAGTCAGTGACAGATAAATGTACTGTATGTTCTGGTACAGAGTGATGACAAGTGGTTTAATTCCCTGTTGGATCTCCCATTAACCCCATTAACAGAAATCCTAATGAACTTATTTGTGGTGAAATCCAGTGTATTTAACCAGGTTTTATAGCCGAGGTCCCCACACAGAAAGAAATGGTCATTTTCTGAAACATTGTCTGTTTAAAATCAGGTTTATAAGCAATTTTGATAAAACTAGAGACTGGTGTTCAACGTGTTTTTAGACCTCCAAGTCTGTCCTATTTTCCTCTTCAGAAATCCCTCACAAGAGACAGAGGTTGGATCGCTACAAAGAGATCATCCGGAGTCTTCCTCGAGTCAACAGGACCACTCTGGCTGCTCTCATCAGTCACCTGTACAGGTAAACTCACACAACAGACCTGCCACTCTGGGGGCTGTTTCACCTACACAAGATCGTTTCCCTCAAGCAAAGACCAAACAAAACACCAAACAAAGACCCTGCATGTGTCCCAAACATAAGTATGTCCTGTAGTACTCTCAAATGTACTGGATTTCCTCAAATAGTGTCCGGGCTTTTATTTACCTCAACTTGTTTCATTCACTCTGTATGATATTATTTTTTTAATATTTGGATATGTTAGTACAATAAGTCAACTTGTTTTCTGATTTGCTCCCATTTCCCCTGTTAAAGTTTCAAATTAAAAGCTCTCTAGCATTGCCCGAATAGCTCACCTGGTAGAGCCCATGTACCAAGGCTGTCCAGCATAATATTTGGGAGCAGGCTGTCAACCTCAATCCGAGCCAGAGCAAGCAATATATATTTAAATAAAAGATCAGTGAGTTTACTTCACAGCAACTTCTAGAAACAATTCAAAAAAAGCTCTGCACTTCTCTTTGTAGGGTTCACCAAAAAAGGCGGAGTGGTACGCCTTGTGTTTTGCCCTCTGTCTGATCGGATCACCAGTTGTTTATCCACCCTTGTTTTATGGCCCAAGCCTTTATTTGGGAATAATTTGTTCTTGATGACCAAGGCCATTATTAGAGACCCGGCTTTAATTTGAGAATGCTACGTCATTTACAATGTTGTGTTATCGGGGCCTGACAGCAGTACTGGTATCAGCAGTCATACTGTTCATAGCAGAAGTGGTAATATTTGCTGTTGAACTTCCCTCAGGGTCCAGAAGTGTGCAGATCTCAACCAGATGTGCACTAAGAACCTGTCGCTGCTGTTCGCTCCCAGCCTGTTCCAGACCGATGGGAAAGGAGAACACGAGGTGAAGATCGTAGAGGATCTGATAGACAACTACCTGCATGTCTTTGATGTGAGTACAACTGGAGGTCCGGTCATTTTCCTTTGTGTCGTAAAAACTGATCAAACTCAGCAAACGTCTGATCCCGTTTCAGATCGATGAGGAGCATCAGACTCAGATTGAGCTGGAAATCAGCCTCATCACCACCTGGAAGGACACTCAGGTACTTAATGCAGTGATGATGTCACTTCATTAATAATACAAATATCCTTCAAAACTTTATATCTATTGTAGGGTATCAAATGAAATATAGATTCACAGTTTCTGTGGACTGATTGCTTTAATTGTTAATTGTTTTATTTGCTACTGGCCAGAAATTTGTGTTATAAAATATTATAACTAATTATGTATAAATTGATCATTACTTGTAACAAGTTGGTTATAGATTATGAATAATTTAAAAGTTGGTCATAAATTAGTAAGTGGTAAGGAGTTAATAAGATATTGATAACTTGATAATTAGTTATTAGCAAGTTGGTAATGAGTTAGTAATATGTTGGTTATGAGCTGTAATAAGTTAGTGATGTAATGGGATACTAATAAGTTGTTAATAAGCTGTTAATAAATGAGTATGTCAGTATTGCAGTTGTTCAGGTTGTGTTGATGGAGGTTTTGTGTGCAGCTGTCTCAGGCCGGTGATCTGATCATTGAAGTCTATCTGGAGATGAAGATACCAGACTGCTGCATCACTCTCAAAGTAAGTCTTCAGACTGAATATCGCTTCATTAATACGACTAATATTAATTCATAAATACTATTAATATGAATCTGTTGCTCATTGACTGAGTCAATTTTGACAAACTGAATTAAACTGCTGGTGGTGTGATGTGACCTGCCTCACCCAGTGCATGCTGGGATAAGCAGGAAGTGTATTTTCAGGTGTGACAGTCTGTATGACCTTTGACCCCTCAGGTGTCTCCCACCATGTGTGCTGAGGAACTTACCAATCAGGTTCTGTACATGAGGAACGTCCCGGCCGGAGACAAAGACGTGTGGATGACGTTTGAGGCCATCGAGGATGGACAGCTGGGTGAGACAACACCTGCACACCTGTCTCTCTCTCTGTGACACACCTGCACTGAGGAGTTCAGGGTGCCTGGGAAATTTTACTCTCTACCTGACAGTCGCTGTTGTTGTTTCAGAGCGTCCCTTACACCCCAAAGAGAAGGTCCTGGAGCAGGCTCTGCAGTGGTGCAAGATGGCCGACCCAAGCTCGGCCTACCTGGTGGTGAAGAGAGTTCCTAAAGGAGAAGGCATTAACATCCTCACCTGTAGGACCGAGTCATTCTTCCTCCACTGAGCCTGACTGCTTTATCCCCACTATGTCTGAAGCTAATCTCTGTCTGTCTGTCTGCCTATCTGTCCATTCAGCCTATAAGAGTGAGATCATGAAGATCGGTCTGCTGAAGTGTCGTGAGGAACCTCCGAAGCTCCTTCAGGGAAACAAGTTCCAGGAGAGAACGTTCCAGATCAAAGACCACAAACTGCTGCTGCTCAAAGACAAGAAGGTAACACTCAGTGGGAACTGGGTTCCTCTGTGAACTAGTAAACACCCATATTCATATTCCAGTCTCCTGACTGGTCTGTGTTGTTGTTCAGAGCATCAAACCGGAGAAGGAGTGGTCTCTGAAGTCCATGAAGATCTATATTGGCATCCGCAGGAAACTGAAAGCTCCAACCAGGTAAACATCAACCTCCCAGCTCATGTTTCAAGTCCAGCTGTTTTACTGACATATCAGATTTTAGATTGATTTTACCTTTTGTTGAGTTGTTGCCTTAAAGGATGCTCTGTGTTACAGAAGCCCTGAGAGCCAAGTTAGAAAGAAACCTTCTGGTAATCATTGCATTTTATCAGGGAGCAGAAAACAGTGATTCTTTCTGAATGGAGCCTGTGAGCTTAAACTGTGGTCAGAGGTCAGAGGTCAGAGGTGATCTCTGTGTTGATGACAGTTATTCAGATGATTCTCTCCGATCTCAGCTGACCTGCAGGTCCTGGTTTTAGAGCACAGAGACAGCCCTTGTTAAAAATTCTAACATTTACATCGAAGTGCTGCCTTCAGTCGATCACAGCATCCTGTTACATCGCCTGGAGACTTCAATGGTCTTCTTACCTCTCCAACAGAACCTCCTCTGGGTTCTGGGTAACTCTTCCACCTCTACGGTTCAGTTGAGCTGTGGTGTTTCTCATGGTTCAGTTCTTGGGCCCCATCAGCCGAGCAAACCTCACAACTTACTTCTCTGACATTAAATCCTGGATGTCCCAAAATGTTCTTAAATTTATTGACAATAAATCTGTGATCATGATGTTTGGTCCCCCTAATGCCATGAGTGCCTTTGGTATTAGCAGCCAGGCTGATAGGAATCCTGGGGTAATCTGAGCATGTCACAGATGTGAGTGTTCGGTCCTGTTTCTTCCAGCTAAACATAATCTCTAAAACTAGGTAATTTTTAATATCTGCTGATCTGCAAAAATTAGTGAATGCTTTTATTTATTCTTGGCTTGATTATTGCAACAAATTTAAAATCTCCAATAACCCCCAAAACCACTCTTATATTGTCGTAATCAGTAAATCAGCTGCTGAGATATTGTCTATATAGCTGATTATTAATGATAATTAAGCTAATTGTTCAACTGTTAGAATGTGGCAGTTTCTAATGCTGGAGACCCAGACTGAAGATTTCTAACAGAAAACGTTGGCACTCAACAGTTCTGGTTCACGCTGCTGCAGGTAGACTGATTTGAAATATATAATGTACTTTATTTGGATGTTTTATTCCTGTTTATTTGTTCTTACTCATTCTGTTGTTTTATTACCTCTGTGTTCCGTATTTTCATTGTATCTGCCTTTAATTTTCTTTTGTACAGCTTTGTAACATTGTTAAGAAAAGTGCTGTATAAATTATTATTGATAAATAATAATAATCTATTTCTGTCATATGTCTGCAGATGGGGGTTCACAGTGATGTCAGACAAACACCAGCTGTAAGTCCTCATCCATAAACTCTGTCACAGCTGTCAGTGTCAGCTGAGTGTCAACTGTAACATCTCTTCTTCTCTCGCAGGTATCTGAGTTGTAGCTGTGAGGCTGAACTGTGGGACTGGATCACCAGCTTCCTCAAGGCTCAGGTCAGATGAAATCATCCTGCTCTGTTCGGAGGAACTGTGTAATAATTCATATGTTTACAGAAAGATGAACTCCCAGCATGCTCGGGTCTCTGACTCTCGTATTTTTGTGGTTCTCTTGCAGAACGATGACCCGGGTCCTCCAGTGCTGAGGCGTCACTCCTCCTCAGATATCTCCAAGCAGAAGTTCGGCACAATGCCGCTCGTCCCCATCAGAGGAGACGAGAGCAACAGCAGCATGCTGACGGCCAATCAGACACTGGTCAGACTTCAAGTCTTAAACTGAGTTTAAAACTTTTGTTGTAGAATCCTTTTACATTTTAATCCTGATGAGAAGAAATTAAACTCAAATTAAATTAAATTAAATGTAGCTGGAATTAAATGAAAAACGTCAGTTCTTTATTAAAACATAACATAACAATTAATCATCAGACTTTATATTTGATTCTCTCTGCAGAGAAAGTTACACGACAGAAGGACTCTCTCCATGTACTTTGTGAGTATTTTGTACTTTGTTTTGTGCTTTATATTTTCTAGTGGAAAATGAATTGATGCAGTATTTCTCTCTCTCTCTCTCTCTCTCTCTCTCTCTCTCTCTCTCTCTCTCTCTCTCTCTCTCCAGCCCATGAAGGTACAGCAGGACTCATTCGAAGAGCGTTCGGAGTCTCCGGATCTCCCCGAGCCACTCTACGAGGAGGTTGGGGACTTCGGCCTGCAGGTCCTGAAATCTCTGGAAACCAGTTTCCTGTCCAGCAGCACCGCAGAGACCCAGGAAGTCCCGGATCACCCGCCACTCAGACTGGTTCCTGTGGAGACTGGACACGTGGAGCACAAGATCGTCCCTGACCCAGTCCGGACCGGCTCTGCAGACCCTCCAGAGCAGAGCAGAGGCAGCAGCGAGGGAGGTGATGGAGAGGCAGACTGCAGCTCTCTAGACTTGAACACCCCCCAGCTGCCTGCAGCGAGGAGGAGGCAGCAGCTGCAGGGAGTCTGTACTCCATCACAGGAATTGCTCCTGCAGGAGCTGTCTTCTGCCTTCACCAAAAAGACCGAAGAGGAGGAAGAGGAGGAGGAGAGGCCGTACGACGTCTGAGAGGAAGGACGGTTTTATCTCTGTTTCTACAGAGTCTGGTGGAGTCTGGGAAATATTTAAACATACAGTGTGTAGTTTCTGCCACTAGGGGGCCTCTCACATCAGAACAATAACAACAGAGGAAGTGTGATGAGGTAGTGAAGCAGCATGGGATCACGGGACTTGTTGTCTTCACCACCATTGGCGTCATTGCAGTCAGCTTCTCCTGGTTAGGATTCCTTCAGTGTTCATGGTTCAGGAGGTCTCCCAATGATCCACAGAGGTCTCCTCCTCTCCAAAACAAACAGACCCGCTGATTAAAACCACTAAACACACTGAATAAAGCAGTTCCACCTTAACAATCACTGCTTCTCCCACGCTGTTGGACAGACAAAGGACGTCCTGGAGGGGCTGTGAGCTGAGCTAATGCTAACATTAGCTCAGCTTGTTTCTCTGATAACTTAAGATCCAGACGTCCGATGACTAAAATCCTTCATCTGGTTCAAATCTAGAGTTAAAAAGCACCAAGATCTAAACAGTGGATGGTAAACAGTCAGTGTATGACAGCTTCTAGCAGACAACCACAACACTGACACAGGAACAAAGGGGATATGACGCCACTGATTACAGATTATTGATTTAATCAACTCCATATAGAACATAGCTCTAGAGTTTATTCACTGTTTAATGAGGAAATGTTACCTATTATTAAAAAGGTAACATGAAGTAATATAATTTGTCTTCAGTGAGTTTTTTGGGGTAAAATAAAATAATGAACAAAAACAGTATGTGCAGTACTCTCTGCCTTTAGAGGGCAATACAGCTTTGACAGGTTTTACAGTGAAATCAGTTTAATGGTTGTCGAAGATAAAAACACAATAAAGTGTTTAACAGATCTGAAAAATCTCAGTCCAAGATCAGACTGGACTCAACCAGGAGACAAAGAACCAACTCAAAGTTTGATTTGTTCAACTGAGTGAAGTCAATCATCCGATTGAGCAGCTGATTTAATCTTTTAAGGAGAAGATTCAGTTCTGACTGAAAGATAAGAATGAGGACTGATGGAGACATTTATCCCCCAACCCTGCCACCGGTAGTGCCTTGCTCTCTGCCAGCAGGAAGGGAATCAAACCATCAGCTGTGACAGAGTAACAGAGCTCAACAGTTTCTGAGTATAGAAATTAAAGATGGACTGGACCGTGATTGGCCGACTCGCAGTCACACCTGAGCAGACGAACATGTTTGACTCCACTGATGGTTTGTTTGTGAAGGACTGAAGCAGACTGGAGGAATTCATCATGTACTGTATGAAGAGACTGAAGCTGATATATTATATGTGTATGTTATATCTTTGTATTGTTTTAATGCCAAATAAGAGAGTTCAGTGTCGTCTTCTCGTCAGGATGGAAAACGTTTTCAGCGGGCACATATTGTATCACTTCCTGTTAGTATACAAACTAAAGTATGTTGATTTCTTGTATATTAACTGCAGAAACTACTACTCTACTGTAGTGATGATCGTTGTCATTCCCAGGCCGTCAAATACCATCGCACAGGGTGCGTTTGTATGGGACGCCGAGGCGGCGTGATAAAGCGTTGGTATCTGACGACCGGGATGAGAACAGGTTGTGATTGAATATCGGTATGTAGGTGACACACAGCAGATTGTTTGAAGGATCTTTGGATGAATTTCTTCTTCTGTAAGTCTGAAACTCAGCAGACCTTTGGTTCACAGAGTCCTCCACAGATTTATGACGTCACTCTGTGATGTCAATCTGTCTGACTCAAAATGGACTAAATCGATAAATCTTCTTCCTTCCTTCCGCCTATATTACCCACAATGCAACTCCAGCACAGACAGTTATATGATTGTGGTGTCTTATGCTAGTAGTGACTAATGTATCCTGCAGCAGAGATGAGGAGCAGCTACAGTCTGGACTGATTTCATCAATATTTTCTTCAAACTTGTTGTCTTCAACCGATGCTGACTCAAGTGACATCACTTGTGAAGTTTTTGATTTCAGTTTCTGATCCTGTTTATTGTTCTGACCATTATTCTGAAACTCAACAGTGTGAAAAATGTCCCATTTGTCCGACTGTTATCCCAAAAAGGCCAGAAAATATAAAAACCTTCAACAAATTAACAAGTTATCAGCTATCAGAACTGAAAGATCCAGCTTGTGCGGGGGGCGGGGGGGTGAAACTCGCCGGGTTGGTTGAATTTGCATTAAGTGCTGCGATCGCAACTTCATGGAGGGACTGGGTAATGCAATGTCGGTCAAATTGTTGGACAGTGAAAAAAAAAATATCATCAGACAGACTACATACAAAGTCTGAATATATCTGAAGATACTTTTCCACATATGTATATTACTAATTTGTGTATTTCATAAGCTCGATGTGAGTGTGGATGAAGAAACTGGTTCCACTGGTTTTAATGGCAACACACTGTGAAGAGTTTGACCTCTGATGTTGTTAAGTTGTACATTTAAATGTAATAAGTGTTATTGGACGCTGTATTTTAACACTGGTGGAGTTTATTTAACCAACTGTAGATTTATTCTCTCTGGCGTCACTGGATTTTATTATTTGGATTATGTTATGGCCTCTTTATACGTTAACTTATTTCATTAAACCATAAATGTTCCTGTTTTTATGTTTTTAAACTGTGACCCCCCCTCCCTCTCAGAGTCAGTCTCTGTATTCTGCTCCATCGTTCCAACGGTCCGTTATTCCAAAACCACAACAGTCTGAATAGACTTTTTCTCTTGTAACACAGGAAGTCTCTTACTGCTGCACTGCTGCATATGCTAACTGTACTAGCTGCGATTAGCTAGTTAGCGGTCCTATTAGCTGACTGTACCTTGGATTACTGGGGAAGGTTTGTTTACAGCACTGGCACAGGAGCTAGCATAAGAGAGAGCACCAGAACTGGAACTGCTCCCAGCCTCAGACCAACAGAGGCCAGGTGATTTACAGCGGCCCTGACCAGGACTCTGACTCCAGGGAAGACAAAGACACAGCGGTTTAAGCAGGAACATGAGAGGGGTGAAAGGAGGAGAGTAACATTATCAATCATCCATCGTATCGATCAGTCTGGATCAGTTTCAGTGAAGTTGGAAGTTATTGAACAGCCAGACTGTGAGATGTTACACTGTGTTACTGCTTGTTCTGATTCACAATCATTTAATAGGCCGCGTTCACACATAGAGATTATAATCATTACATTCAGATCAGAAACATGCAACATTAGCCAGCTAATGCATTTCACAAATGGGATGTTTATCGGACTGTCGGGGTTCGGAATAATGGGTCGTCCCTCCACAACCGTTTGACTCACTTTATATGTTCAGACGTGGAAGAAAGAAAACTCATTCTTCTCGTTCTGGAAGCTTTCATGTACATGAAGGATGATATTAAAATATATTTTTGGTTTCATAACCTGCTCTTTGACTTTCTTTATCGACCTTGAAGGAAAGTCTGTGTGTTTATATCTTTGTGAGGACATAATCCAACTTCCTGCAGTTATTGAGTTCACTGTTTGGGTTCATTAATCAGTTGATCAGCTGTTCTCTGCTGTTATTGATACTGATCAATATGAAACATACAGTCAATATGTCAACATTATATAAGTCATAATGACCAACAGAGTTAGGAGTGTATTTACAGTCTCTGTGCTCACGTGAACGTTGTTTTCTCCAGCTGAAGGTAAAGGAAGACATTTTAAATGTTGAAGCTGTGGTTAGTTTAGTTTCTGTGTTGTTCATTCACTGACTTTAACTGTAAACTGGGGACGAAGCAGCTCCAACAACCGCCGGTAAAACTGTCCACCATGTATCCGCCTGTGAGTCACTGAATGCGGCTGCACTCTGTGGCGGAGCACCGCTGGAGAACCGCAGTTTGTGCTCTGTGATGATCCTGACTACAGACAGCAGGAAGGAGATCTTTCATTAGGCTGATTAGATAAATAGGTAAGTGAGTCACTAATGAGCTAGTGTCGCTTCTTTATGTCAGATTCAGATAAGATACAATGTGCCTTTATTGATCCCTGTACAGCAGCACAGATAAATGTAGTGCAAATATTATTTGACTTTTTATTTCACTGCAGTGATCAGTTTCTAAAATGTAGAGAGCAGTGTGCAATCTAGAAGCTGCAGAGGTCAGTTAGAGTCATTCAGGTGAAACTTTGACACAAAGATTGTCCACTCCTTGTGTCAAAGATGATGAGACATTGTGAGACTTTAGTGCTGTTGGATTGACTGAATATTAAAGGAAGAGTAGCTTCCTGTCAGACTGTCAGTGAGTGGAAATGCTCCTCCATGCATTGTGTGTGTTTGTGTGTGTGTTTGTGTGTGCTGGGCTGCAGCCTCATGACGCCATCTAGTGGACTGATGGAAGTCCAGCAGCTGATGGCAGCTTCCTCTGCCTCACGCTGCTGTCTGACTGCATTCAACTGACACTGATATGGAAGAGAAAATAACAGCTGATGATGAAAGGATGATTTCAGTCCATATGCACATGAATGATCAGTGTTTCCTCTCCAGATCAAAGTGTGTGTGAGCTGATGTGAGTTCAGCAGCATGAGTCAGTGTGAGGACAGAGAGGAGGGAGTCCCTCCCTCTAAAAGCACTCTGTGGGGTCCTGGACCTGAACCAGGAGCTGGATCTGGACCTGGACCTGGACATGGACCTGACCCGAGCTATGTGTCCATGAAGAGTGATGAGTCAGTGGATCAATCTGCTGACGGAAGGTGAGAATTAAAAACAAAGTTAGTTGCTTTCTGTGTTAAAAGATAAAAATATATTTTCCATCAGTTTTGATCCAACAAGCAACTTTATCTGTTCTGTTTTTATTTCAGGATCCAGCAGCAGAAACCAGAACCTGAACCCAGCTGTGTGTCCTTCAAGAGCGACCAGTCGAAGGATTTTATTCTTAATTTTAAAGGACAACATGATGCTGATGAGTAAGCTGTCAGTAAATGGTCCCTGGTTCATGTTGGAGACTTTTATGTTCATTTCACTGTTGTTCTTATTTATATCCTCACATCGTTAAATGTTAAACGGACTGTACTTGTATTATATTCACACATATTCATACAGTGATGGCAAAAGCTCATCACAAACTGTCATTTATCCACTCACACACTGATACGCAGCTTCAGCAGTTTGGGGTTCAGTATCTTGCTCAAGGACACTTCAACAGTCAGCGGGAGGAGCCGGGGATCAAACCACCAACCTTCTGATTAGTGGACAACCCACTCTGCCTCCTGAGACACAGCCACCCCTAAAAACCAATAATGCATGGTTGTAGACTAATCGTTCATAATCACAGAAGCAATCTGCCGTTTCACCCTGAAAGACCTGAGGCGGTGGAGGAGGTTACTTATAAATTTAATGTGTGAAAGAATTGTATTCTTAATTTCAAAGAGATTTAAGAAAATGTTAGTTTTTAACATCTTTAGTTATTTATTATTTAAGATACAGACAGAGCTGACAATGTGAACTTTAATCAATTTACCAGCACTGTTTTTGTTTCAGGAGACAGGATCAGGGACCAGAATCTTCTAGACCTCCACCCAGCTGTCTGTCCTTCAAGAGCGACCACTCAAAGGATTTTATTCTTAATTTTCAAGGACAACGTGCTGCTGATCAGAAGTAAGCTATCAGTAAAATGTCCCTGATTCATGTTGGAGACTTTGATGTTCATTGGCCTGATTTTATCGTATTTATATTCTCACATCTGGTAACAGAATAGTCGACTATAAAACCAATAATGCATCGCTGTAGATTAATCCTTCACAATCACAAAAGTAAAAACAAAATAAGAATTTAACTTCCTGCCCTGAAAGACGCGAGGCGGAGGAGGAAATAAATGCTGTTTTAACTTTTTACGCATAAATTCAATGTGGTCATTTCAGAATATCATTAGATCAATATTTGTATGAAATACCTTTATCTTGAAAGCATTGTTATCACTACACTCTGACAGTGAATAACTCTGATTATCTGGGTATCAGGGCTGCTGTCAGTGGGGGGGTATATCAGGCAGACAGTGAACAGAGTTGATGTGTTAGAAGCAGGAAAAATGGGCAGCGTGAGGATCTGATCCACTTTGACAAGAACCACATTGTGATGGACAACTGGGTCAGAACATCTCCAAACCTGCAGCTCTTGTGGGGGGTTCACGGTCTGCAGAGGTCAGTACCTATCAAAAGTGGTCCAAGGAAGGAACTGAACCAGAGACAGGGTCATGGTCCGATCCAACAGACGAGCTACTGTAGCTCATACTGCTGAAACAGTTCATGCTGGTTCTGATAGAAAGGGGTCAGACTAGAATAGAGCAGTCAGTTGGTCTGGGAGCAGTCAGGGAGTCTATGCTGACCTGGTTTTAAGTATGAATTCAACAGTGTAAGATTGGTTGCTACACTGGAGCCAACTTAGTTGTAAAACAGAATTTTTTTCCTGACATCTTGGATTGTGCCTACAAGTAGGGGCGGCTGTGAGAGGCAGAGGTAGAGCAGGTTGTTATATATTACAATATTTACATCAAGAAATAAATTCATGGACTTAGCTTGTGTTTGTCTCTGTGTGGTCAGACATAATGTGAGCTAATTCTTCATGATTCCTCCACAAAGTGGACCAGGAGAGCTCAGAGGTTCCCAGTGGTCAGTCTGCCCAGCAGCATCAAACACACCTGGACTCCATATTTATGGTCTGTACATGGACAACAACTACTTTTACATCTATTGTGTTCACAATAATCTCCATGCTGCACTTTTTAGACCAGTGGATTGTCAGTCTGTCCAACATGGATCCGATGTTTGGACCATGATTTGATTTTTAGTCATTCATATAATATTCTGTTCCAGCTGCTGGAGGACAACATTGTCACTTTTGTGAAAAACAAACTTCAAAAGATCCAGAAGTTTCTGAGTTCAGGTGACCCAGAATGCTTAGAGAGTCAGAGGGAGGATGAGGAGGTGTTTGAAAGTAGCAGAGAGGCATTTCTGAAGATCACATTGCACTTCCTGAGGAGAATGAACCAGGAGGAGCTTGCTGACTGTCTGCAGAGTAGTAAGAGGATTTCTCTAAAGATTTAACTCGCTGGATAAATGAAACATTTACTGATGTCTCTACAGATGGACCAAAATATATGAATGTATTCATTCTTTTGGAAAATTAAATGTTGGAACATTTTATTTGGCTTATTGATCTTATTTGTTGTGTGTTCATTCAGGAACTCCTGTTTCAGTTAGTTTCCAGCGTAAACTTAAGTCTAAATTGAAGAAGAAGTTCCAGTGTGTGTTCGAGGGGATTGCTAAAGCAGGAAACCCAACCCTTCTGAACCAGACCTACACAGAGCTCTACATCACAGAGGGAGGGACTGCAGAGGTCAATGATGAACATGAGGTCAGACAGATTGAAACAGCATCCAGGAAACCAGACAGACCAGAAACAACAATCAGACAAGAAGACTTCTTTAAATCCTCACCTGGAAGAGATGAACCAATCAGAACAGTGATGACAAAGGGAGTGGCTGGCATTGGGAAAACAGTCTTAACACAGAAGTTCACTCTGGACTGGGCTGAAGACAAAGCCAACCAGGAGCCAGAGACCAGAGACCAGAGAGCTGAATGTGCTGAAAGAGAAAAAGTACAGCTTGGTGGAACTTGTTCATCACTTCTTTACTGAAACCAAAGAAGCAAGAATCTGCAGGTTTGAAGAGTTCCAGGTTGTGTTCATCTTTGACGGTCTGGATGAGTGTCGACTTCCTCTGGACTTCCACAACACTGAGATCCTGACTGATGTTACAGAGTCCACCTCAGTGGATGTGCTGCTGACAAACCTCATCAGGGGGAAACTGCTTCCCTCTGCACGCCTCTGGATAACCACACGACCTGCAGCAGCCAATCAGATCCCTCCTGAGTGTGTTGACATGGTGACAGAGGTCAGAGGGTTCACTGACCCACAGAAGGAGGAGTACTTCAAGAAGAGGTTCAGAGATGAGGAGCAGGCCAGCAGAATCATCTCCCACATCAAGACATCACGAAGCCTCCACATCATGTGCCACATCCCAGTCTTCTGCTGGATCTCTGCTACAGTTCTGGAGGATGTGTTGAAGACAGGAGGAGAGGAGAAGAGAGGAGAGCTGCACAAGACCCTGACTGAGATGTACATCCACTTCCTGGTTGTTCAGTCTAAACTGAAAAACATCAAGTATGATGGAGGAGCTGAGACGGATCCACACTGGAGTCCAGACACAAAGGAGATGATTAAGTCCCTGGGAAAACTGGCTTTTGAGCAGCTGCAGAAAGGCTACCTGATCTTCTATGAATCAGACCTGACAGAGTGTGGCATCGATATCAGAGCAGCTTCAGTTTACTCAGGAGTGTGCACACAGATATTTAAAGAGGAGAGAGGACTGTACCAAGACAAGGTCTT